CTGGCCGGTGGCGATGGCTCTCGCCAGCCATCGAAGCTCGAACTGACGGTTGCCACCACGCAGGGCAAGTCGTTCGCTGAGGTAGCCAAGAAGCTTTCTTCTTAAAGAAGCATGCTCATCAGTGAGACGAAACACTCAGTTTCCCTTGTGCTCCCGTCTTAGCACTTTCTAATTCGGATGCAATGAAAGCTCATAATTCTCACCGTCATAGCTATTTTCGTTTGTTTGGTCTGCTGTGCATTTCAACGTTGCGTCACAATCCATTCGGTCCATGGAGGAACAAAGGCCTCGTTTGAGCTGTGACTCGGATGAATCGACTGCTTTGACGTGGCAGGACCAAGTCCACAAAGATCTGAAAAGCGATGCTGTACGATTGCGACTTCAAACGTATTCGACACTATCTGAGAAATGCAGCGAGTCCAAGGACATGCAGAAGCAAGTGGGGCAGTTGTTTGGGGGTCCTCGCAATGGAGTCACATCTTCTTTATTGACTGTTCTATTCGACGACTTACATTCAACCGATAAAACATTACGCATAGCGGCTGCACGTGTGTTGTGCCTCATGGCATACGAGAACCTCACGAACCAACAAATGATCATACGGAGTCAGGATGTTCGAGACGAAGAGCATGTTGGCATCACTATTGGATGGGTGCACGTTTTCTCAATCCCTCAGTTGTTACGGGATCGGTATGAAGCACAATGTGAAAAACGTGGAGTGTTCACAACCTCAAAAGGTTTAATCGAATTCGTCTCGAATCTGATCAAAGACAACTACGCGTCCATTTACAGTCGAATAGGACGCTACTACGCTGAAGGCTGTCACGAATTTCTACCTCTATGTTGGTCTCAAGCTCTAGTGAACGATTCATCCGAGAGTGTCGATATGGATGGCGTTCCTGATCCAAACGAGAACGTCTTGGGGTTTTATCTCGTTCCGAGACAAATGCAGTTCCCAGAACAGGACGACTATTTCTTGCATGATATACTAGCCTCGATTCAAACAAGATCTGAGCTTTCGCGTCTTCAGCGAGTACATACAGCATTCGAACAAGTCGCTTTCCGAGCAACAGAAGCCAACGCTGCAATATTGAAAACTGTTCTAGAAGGGATATACAGCTCATTTAATAGTGAAGAGGAAGCAGATATTGCGGATCAACGACAAACCAGTTTCCTGGAATGGCTGGACGCATTCCCGAAACGAATGATAACTTGGAATGAGATTCTCAGTTGGTGTTGTACGGATATGAACACTGATGAAATGCTCAAGCGCTTTGGTGCAGAATCATACAGAATTGTTTGTGATACCTTTCAGAAATTAACTTTTGGTGGTGAAGGGCAAACAAAGGACCAAGCAAACTATTATGTGTGGGAATCGACTCTTGTCGGGGCACTTCTGAACCATCCAGACCTTCCTCATGAGCTCAAAGCAAACATTCGAGCCATGGCCCCTGGATGTGTGAACCGACTTAACCTCTCTCATCGAAAAGCTAATAACAATGCCCCGGTAAACTCGACAAAAGCGTTCGAATGTCCTTGGGAGTATTTGTTCCCGCTCGAGTTAACAGAGATCAACCCGATCAGTTGGAGTGTATTTCTAAGCAAATGGCGACAAAGTGCAGACGCAAAACCCGAAGAAGACCCACAAATTTTCCACCAGTCTGACCGAAGACACCACTCCGTCGGTGACGCTGCAAATCCAGCACTGCTGGTAGCTCGGAAGAACGCTCTAGCCACCTTAATGCACAATCCCCGTATATTCCATAGCCTCCGCGACCTGAACCAGTTACGCCAGCAACTTCCATTTATCGCCAATCGACCACCTGAAGTCAGAGAAGAAAGCGCAGAGTTTCCTGCTTCACCAAGTCGATCGCAAAGTATACAGCAACGTCAGTTAAGCGAAGCAGAGAGACGTGAACTGAAGGAGAATCGCAAGTTGTTTCGCAAGTTCCAGCGGTCATCAATCGAACTTGATGAAGCTACACGGCAGCGTATTGAAACCAAGCGAGAAGCTCGAAACCAAGCACATGAAAGAGCAGCAGAAAACCGGAAGAAGAACGAGAAACTCGCCATTCAGCGCATACAGGAGCTAGCACGTTCAAAACGTGACAAATTAGTGAAAGTTCAGGAGCGAATACAACGCAAGGAATATCGCTGGAAGGTTCATCTTGAAGCGAGACAGGAGCGCCATGAGCGGGTTCAATGGTGGAAACAGATGCAACACGAAGATTTAGTAGCCCGACAGGTAGAATTCATGCGGCAAAAGGAGGAGGACGACGCTGCGCGAAGACTAGAGCAAAACCAACATACAATGAGTCAGAACTTACGCAGGTCTGAAGTATCTCCTCCTCGAGCTCCTACTACAGAGCGACAATATTCCTGTCCAAGACGACCTCAATCTGCTCGAACAGCTACTGACCCCCAGACCATTCGTGAACGGGCCAACGTGTATGGCTGTGCTGCATCGAAAGCCTTCGCAGCACGTAGACCGCAAACTACACGGGCGGATTTTTACTCGGGGACTAAAAGTCCTAGTAAATCTGCCAGTTTTCGACGAGTTCGACCAGCAAGTGCTGGTCCCAGCCGTAATGTTGGCCCTAGCGCGGCTCCAGCCGCTGAATTAAACAGAAGTGATCCCCTAGTATTGGACGTGGAAAATGCCTGCCAAACTCTCGTCATGACCAACGCAGCGCATGCGGTCGCACAAGAAATCGCCATCCCGTCTGTACCAGGTCCTGTACCTGAAGAGGAGATTGTGCCGCCTGCAGTCATTATGGCGCAATATTTGGCCTTGGAAAAGGAGCAGAGATTCAAACTGCACGAACGCTACTGTGTGAATCGAGTGAGTCACAAACTCACGTTCGCAGTGCTGCAGCAATTGACTCATGAGATGAGGCAAGATGCAGCTTGGCGTGAATTTGCCAAGGCCGCAGGAGGAGCTGCGAATATTAAGCGCAACAAAACCAAGCGAGATGCCAAGGTCACGTACACTGCTTTTGCCAGTGTAGCGCATCAACTGGGAATCACTATGCCCCCTAAACGGATACAAGTTGTGGCACGCAGCTTAGACCCGTGGAAGACGGGGTTTGTATCTTGGGAATCGTTTTACCCATGGTGGAGCAAGCAATGTGAACCTCGCAGTAATAAATGACCATGTTAGTTGAAATTGTATCTTGTAATTTACTAGTACGTGTTAAGGGACACATGGCTACACCATCGGAGCTGAGCGAGCTGGAGCGTGGAGATGGAGCTTGGGAAAACATTCAGGTCCGAAGCGATGGTACAATACTGTCGTGTAGTATTCTGACAGACTTTTGGCTATGGAGTAGGAGGTTTTGCGCTTCGGGTTCAGGAAGTTGTGGAAGGTTTTCGCTGGTGTGGATTCTCGTGTGAAGGTAAAACGTGACCTAAAACATCAAGTACGGTTAGCTCACTAACGCCTATATGGTTGCAGGAGCTAGAAAACGCTGTTGCTATTCAAAAGGATGATTCACTACGCCAGCATCAGCACTTGGAAGCTATCGCAAAGACATTAAACGCCATGAGCGAGCAACTTCGACTGTACGTGAGGGTTAACATTCCTTTCAGTTTTTGAAGACTGACTATGCAAACTAGTGAGCAGGAGGAAACGACAAATCAGCAGATCGAGGCGCGTTTGCAGCACTTGGAATGCCAGATTCAGAACCAGCTCGCAGAAAACCACACTGGTGCAGTTGATAACAAAGCTCGAATAGCGAAGATAGAGCGCCGTCTGGATCTAATAGAAGAAGAAATGGGGCATTTCGTGACGGCGATCGAGCAGAAGGCAGATGCAGAGGAGATGCTAGCACAAGGAAGAGCACTGGAAGAATCGATACGCAAGCGCGTAAGTTTTTTTTTTTACATTTTTGCTGGATACTTGGCTTATTCATTGAGATATCTTTCTTGTGGTTAGTGCAAGAAAGAAGCTTTTGATCAAGAAGTGCTCAAAATGCAGGAGCGACTCCTTCAACAGCGACAAGAACTAGAAAATGAGTTATCACTCTCCATCTCGGACTTTAGAACTGCACAAGAAACGCATTTCCATTCAGAGATGGAGAATTGGGCTGGGAAGATACAAGAGAGCACGCTTGAAAATGTGCAAACGCTGTTCGATCACGAGATTCAGAAGCAAGGAGAGGCTATGGGATCACTAGGTATTCAGATTAAGCTCTGTTGTGACGCTCTTGAAGCCCAGCAGAGAAGAATGGACGATTTCCAAGTGGAGATTGACAAGAAGGTTCGTGAGACGCTTGTTGCGGATCGAGAAGAGATTGCTCTCCAATGCAGTGAGGCTCACGGCCAAATCGACTACCAGTTTCGCACCCAGGAAGCAGTTTTGGAGAGGATTCGAGTGCAGCAAGAAGAGATCGCGACAAGTTTAAGTAAGCGAGACCAACAAACGCTAGACGACATCAATGCTGCGGTCGAGAACCTTGATCGTCGTGTACTTGATCGAGAGAATCAAGAGCTCGAGAAACTGCGTCATCATTTCACAGAGGAAATCCAACTGACGATTGCCAACGCTTTAAAGGCATTGGAACTTGCTAAAGATCGAGAACAGCGCAAGTTGAAGCAGCACCAACACGTTGTCGGACGCAAACTGGCAGAACTTGACCAGATGATGCAACTCATTGGGAGGCAACTGATTCAAAACACGTCACAGTTGCAAGTGGTGCGCAACGAGCAGCTCGAGTATAGTTTGCAGAGTGAAGACGCAGGATATAGTGACGACGAACTCTTGCTCCCGTATGACGACGTGGCTGACAACGTCAATCTCCCACGCACTCCAGTCTTACCTGCAATAAACGAAACTAGTCACAGCAGCACCATTCAGGACGCTGCGGAGTTGGTGACGCGTCGATCTCAGCATCAAGAATTGCAGGGGCAGTTGGACAAGAAACTTCGCGACTACAGTCAAGTCTTGTCTCCTAGCCGAGCACAAGAAGAACGGGAGAGCCTTACCCAGCCTACACAGTCACCAAGAGAGTAAGTCCGTTCATTACATTAGTAAAAACGACCCAGTTAGACTCGTTGATGAAGAGATGGTTGACTATAAAGTTCAACTGAAGGAGCCGTTGCCAATGCTGCTTCTGTCGTCCAGTGATCCAGCTTCAAGTGCACCATTTCCATTCGGCACAGAGCCGTTCGATCCGATAGCAGGCGTCTCCATCGTTGTCGATACAGTCATGACAGCTAATAAGTCGACCGAGGGCGGTGTGATCTCCAAGTGAAGCGAAGCCTCCAAGGTTTCCAGGATCCCATTGAGAAATTCCTGTTCTTGCTCGTACGTCATGCCATCCTCATTGTCCCCGTCAAGTCGCGACAGTAATTCCTCGTTCGATGTCTGCGCCTGAACGCGCGGAAGACGCAGCGTCGTGAGTTGCGCTGTGAACTGTTCTCCCAACTTCCGCTCGTTCAGCAGACTCTGCGATGCCGTCACGATCTCGTTCTTGCGTTGCACAGCTTGCTCCGCTTCCAGCGGTTCGGGTACTTCACTGATGTCGATGAAAGCTTGCGCCGCACTCTCCACGATTCCACTGAGTCGGTCGTTCTCACTCAACACACCTTTACCGGACCACATACCGCTGGATCGGCCATTGCTGCCCGTACCACCCAAGCCCAACTCACTGTGCAGATCCAGATGCTTCTCCAGCTCCAGAAAATGCTGCAACGACGCATCGTCCAATATACCGGGCACCTGCAGAAGTCCATCTGCAATTCTGTAAGTATACCCTGTTACATACAACTTAAGCACTGTTTTACACACCGAGGTACTCCTGTAGACTCGCCTGCCGCTTGATTAGGAAGTTGGGGTCGAATCTGAACCACATTAAACACAAATGTGTCAGTATATGAGACTAAGAGCTTCCGGGTTAATTCTTCTGCGCGTTGTGGCATTCTCAGAGCAACCAACGCGTTGAAAACCCAGCAGCACGGGGGAGAAGAACGAAAGGAAGAGAGAAAATATCTCTAGAGCTAGGTAAAGATCTCAGTCTGCATCGTCAACTCTGGAACTGCAACCTCATCAACTGTCCACACTTGAAGCTCGGGTCCATCTCTTAATCAGATAAGATCAAGTGATTTTTACAGTCCTCGACTTGTACCAAGTCTCCTCGCTTCCTTTTCAACATTAGAGACCCCACGAGCCACACAACGCGTCGACAGTTGACAAGGGAGTTCAATACAAAGCAGACAGCAGCAAAGAGTCTCCATCCAATCCAAGTCTTCTCCCCATTCTTTTCATTCCGTGACGTGCTGCTGTTCAACAGACTCGTAGAGTCTTCTTCTCATCATTGAATTTCACGTCGCTCGAACCCACATAAATAAGCACATACCGACCAAACCACTGCTTTTCTGGCAGCGACACCTCGATGAGGTCTCCGAAGCGCCGTACCAGGCGCGAATGTAGCTGGTCGAAGTCGCTAAAGCGCCGCGAAATTCTCCATAAGCCACCGTTGCACGAGATCTGCGCGGCGACACGGCCTGTTAGCGCAGAGAGAGAAGAAGAACAAGCAGCAGACGCGACCACGTACCTCCACGATGAACTCGGTGTGGTCCCCCACCGTGTCGTAGCCCGTGATCAGCGCGCTCACGTTCAGCATCGCCATCGTATCGGGAGCGATAAGATCAGTCGAGAATAGATTGGTGTAACGAACACTAAATAGTGTGGTGCAAACCTTAAGAAAAACAAAGCAACTTCAAAGTGTGTCTGTTCTGTATCCAGACGTCGGCGGGCGAGGCAACCAAGTAATGTCGCACTACGGACGAGCAGGAGGCGAGCGTGTGACGCTCGCGGTGGACTTGGATCACACACTTACTAAGCTGCTAGAGTGTGCAGCTGCATGGCATGAAGCCGAGCACGGCGCGAAGGTGAGTCAGACTGCAGCAAGCTCAGCGATCTTTCGATCTTTCGACAGCAGAAGACGCTGCAGGATTCAATACAATAATATAGGCTAATAGACACTTCGTTTACTGTTAGATTGACGCGGAGAATGTCGCGTCGGCGAGCTGGGCGACCGTTTGGGGTGGAGGCGACGCCGAGAGCAAGACACACCAGTTCTTTGAGTCCAAAAAGTTCGAGACGGAGTTGGCAGCAGTAGCAGGCGCCAATGAGGTGCTCAAGCCACTACGCAAGTATTTCTCGCTGCTGGCTATTACGGATCGTCCGCGGTTCGTGGAGAAGCAGACACGTGAGTGGCTAGATCACCATTTGTCTGGTGTCTTCGACAAGCTCGTGTTCGTGGACGAGGACAGTCCCGAGCACCTGGTAGCACGGAAGAAGGAGTTGTATGACGACCTGAAGGTCAAGGTTGCAGTAGGCTCCGATGCTGCGATGCTTACAGAGGCAGCCGAGCACGTTGGACACGTGGTCATCGTCGGTTCGGTGCCGTGGACGAAGCCTGTCGAGAAGTCTCGAAGTGGCGTGACTCAGGTCACCGAGTGGTCAGAAGCTAAGGAGACGTTCGACCAGCTCATTAAGGATCTCGAGCTCCAGCCGCTCGACAAGATATTCGCAGGACCACGTCTCGCACGATACACAGACGATTTAGTCACAGTCTCGACGCGGAAGCCAGCAGGTACGGCGTCTAGCTCTGTATGTATTGAAAGAACTAGAGCTAACTGTGTTGATGTCCGCAGTATTCTACGCCAACATCATCAACTCCAAGTTCATGGTACAGAAGCAAGAGACTGTTCGACTGCAAGCGTCTGAGGCGGCGATCACGACGGCTGTGCAGGCGGCCGAGATCCTGCGCATCCAGAACAACGCCATCACGACCAAAATCTCGACGCGATATGCGCTGAACCGCCCCAAGGACCGCGGCGGCTACCGCGTGCCCAAGCTGGAGCTGGTACTTCAACGCGTCGCGCCCAAAGCGTAGTTGGAGCTGAGGTCGATGTTAACACAGAGAGGAGGAAAGCAGTGAGAACAGAGCAGTGTTGCTGCGACTGGTAGCAGAAGCCCGACAGGGCAAACAAAACAGGAAACAGTGACGTCTATAAGTCTCTGCCGCGCTCACTCGTCTCGAGCGGCTCTAGATCTGGTCTCCATGTACTCTCGGCGCTCTTCGTCGCGCTGTTGGCGACGCTCCGCCTCGGTCACCGTCACAATATCGTCTGCGGAGCAGAAGTCGGCAGCGATTTAGTCTTTTATTCCAGTGTATTTCCCAGTCTACAATAAGATCTGACAGGTGCACGTACAGAAGCCGGTCTTGACCATGAACAACTCCATAGCTGCGCCCGTCACGAAGCAGAGAGGCACCAGCTTCTTCAGGATCGGCGTGAGCGCCACCGTCGCTTGCGGCGCCATAGTTGATCCCCTAAGTTTGTTGTGTATAAATGATGTACAAATTGTGATTGGTACAGTGTACCGACTTCGAGCTGTTAACTCAAAGCTATGTAGCCATTTCACCGAAAGGCAACAAACGAGTGGAGACTGCGGTAAGTGATGAGCGAGACGAGATGCGTGGGCTTCCGTTGCCTGGACCGGGACGAATGCTACCATTACGATGAGAAACTAAAGAAGGCGGCATTCATTCATGACGGTGATACCTGCGAAAACTCACAGGGGGACACGCAGCACAAGTTCCGGTATCACAGCCAGAACGGCGAGATGCAGATGCTCGACGCGGACGAAGTACAGGAGCTCATGAAGTGCACGTACACGAGCAAGCTCCTCTTCCAGCGCACACATCTGCTGCGTAACTATGGATTTTGGGGCTTCTCGGCCTTGGCGAACGAATTTGATCAGTTCGCATCGCTTGGCCAAAGCACCGTCGAGGTGTCGCCGAAAGTGGCAATCGGGCACGTCTCGCTGCTGAGTCATGTCGAGGAGAAGCCGCTCGGCTTGTTTGCAGCCGAAAATCTGGCCTGCAACGAGTTCCTGGGCGAGTATACTGGAGTAATTAAGGTCGGCGTCAGCGAGATGAACGAGTTCGATCCGTACGGCATCTCGTACCCTTCCGTGTACGAAGGAGGCGATCTCTACGTTAGTGCAAGCGAGTACGGCAACATCATTCGTTGCATTAACCACAGCGCCACACCCAACGCTCGCTTCGTGCCAATGGTGCACAACGGCATCCTACGGATTTTCTGCGTACGTGTTGATACATGTAGTGCAGTTTGAGGGAGGGGGGATCTACTGACATTTGTAATGCTGCAGTTTGTGCTCCAGGATATCAAGCAGGGCGACCAGATCTTCGTCAACTATGGGCCGTCGTACTGGAAGTCCACGGGGATCGAGCCCGTTGAATTCCACGAACAAACTGAACCAGTTCGAGTACAATAAACCTTTTCATTCCCGTTTACATAAGGGTGAGCCTCACCGTGAGGGGTACAAGGACCAACGTGGATAGTAAGCCAGTTAATCACTTGAAGAGGCTACGCTAATACGCAGAGCTTAGTCCTCAATCTCGACGATGGCCTCGACTTCGACAGCCACGTTAAGGGGAAGAGCGTTGGTGCCGACAGCCGAGCGGGCGTGGATGCCCTTGTCTCCGAACACCTTGCCGATGGTGTCCGAGGCGCCGTTGATGACGGCCGGCTGCTGCGTGAAGCCGTCGACGCAGTTGACGAAGCCCACGAGCTTCACCACACGCTTGATCTTGTCAAGGTCGCCCACCTCCTCTGTATAATCAATAGAAAAAAAGTCAGCTCTTCGTATCACCTTTAAATTTGACGGCAACAACGTACGCTTGAGGGTAGCCATGAGGCTGAGTGCCACGTAGTGGGCGGCCTCGTAGCCCTGCTCGGGCGTCAGGTCCTTGCCGACCTTGCCCAGGATAAGGTCACCACCAGCGGGCTGCGGCAGGTGGCCGGCCATGTAGATGGTGTTGCCAGAGCGCACCGACGTGCGGTAGTTGCCCTTGGGCTCGGCCACAGCCGGCAGCGTGTAGCCCAACTCCTCGATCTTGCGCTCAATGTGCACATTGCGCACAGCCGACGCCAGGGAGCGCGACTTGGTCATACGGATCAGGGAGTTCATGGTGATGGAGCTGAGGGGCGACTGAGTCAAATGTGGATTTGAGCTGATGCACGAGCTGCTGCAAGAAGGCGCTGGTCACCAAATGATCGGCGCGACGGGATTTGGCTACGCATCCAAACCCGACCGATTAGATGCCTCATTTTCATTCGATTTAAAGGTTACAAGATCAGTTAGGCTATTCGATGGGTTTATGAAAGTTGAAGTTGAAGTGGTTGGGAAAAATTGAGCAGCTCAACTCGCAAGCAACACAACGTGCTCTTCCTTCCCTCAAACCAAGGCGAACGGTAATAAGGCAACTCTGCGTGTAGACGAAAGCGCACTCACCTTTAATGAAATGTCTCGGAACGACCTTATTCCTCTCCTCGCGCCCTGGTTTGATACGAACTGTAGTATGAATGGATTCTGTTGCTACGAGCAGGTGTGGGGTAGGGGGGTAGGACCGAGTCCTCACGTAAAGATGTATTTAGCCTACAACCTCGGTATCAGGAAATCCAAAGCTGCTGTTGCCGGCGTGCAGGTACCCCGCCACCTCGACCGAAGAGACGTAGCATTTCCACTTCTTCAGCAGGAGGGGTACGCCGACGATGGTCGCTGCCGCAAACTCCTCTTCGTCCGAGATGCTGAAACAACCCACACTTTCGGTCTCGAGCCGAACCTCAAAGCACAGGCTCTCGGCATCGGCAGAGGTCGTTGCCAACATCATGCAGTCTCTTAGTATCAGGTCTTCGGCCGTCAATGGTAATGTTCTAACTAAGCCAACAATCAAGACGGGATCACAACCTCCGACGTCCACACCTTTCAATGAATCCAAGTCTCTGCAACTTACTGCTGACAACAGTGCTGGAAACAAGCAGCCAGCGTAAGATGTTTGCTGTCTACATGCTCTAACATGTCCATCGTCTCTCATCATTTACGATGTTACCGTCTTCATCCACTCGAAACAGCCTCGAAGTCCTCAAGCCAGCTACCTGCACGGGCAGCAGCTTCTACGCCAAGGAGATGGCGTTGCTAGCCACCCACGTGCAGACTGGATTGCAAGCTCGAGTCGCTCCCATTCCCATCGACGACTGCACAGGCGGGGTCTACTACTTGCGAACGAAGAATCGTCGTCTGACGGGAGTGTTCAATCCTGCCGATGAAGAAGCGTATGCACCAAACAATCCGAAACAATACAACAAACCAGAGGCTTCTAGTGTATTCAGCATGCGCGAGGGGATCTCAGCTGGAGATTCCGCTGTGCGAGAGGTTGTAGCGTATCTACTGGATCACCAGCACTTCGCTAGAGTTCCAGTGACGTTGCTAGCTTCAATTTACCACCCCGACTTCCACTTCAAAGCGTCAGAGACTCCCCACGGCAAGATTGGTGCTTTACAAGCTTACGTTGCGCACCGAGACACTGCAGACGATGTTGGATCGGGGTTATTCAGCGTAGCCGAGGTGCAAGCCATTGCCATCCTGGACATTCGTCTAGCCAACCAAGATCGTCACGGAGGTAACTTGTTGGTAGTGGAACCCGCTCAAACGATCACACAAACGTCCACGTCGGTGGTGACCAAGTCACTGGCAGGGAAGAAGGTCTCGCTCGTTCCAATCGACCACGGAGCCTGCCTACCGCGCATCTCGGCGCTATCGGAGACCAGCTTCATGTGGCTACTTTGGCCGCAATCTAAGCAGCCATTTTCTCTCGCTGCTCGCGAGTATATCGCAGCGTTGGATGCACACCACGACCTGAAGCTGCTGGAAGATAATCTACCGGCGAACTACCCGCTCGAACGCGAGGCTATACTCACGTTATTCGTATGCACAACTCTACTCAAGTTCTGCGCTCTCGATCGCCACATGACCGCGTACGATATCGGAATGCTCATGTGTCGTCAAGGCACAGTGGCCGAGCAAGAAATGAAGCCAAGTGTTCTCGAGACACTTGTAGCCAAGAGTCTTCGGGACCCAGCAGTGCTCAAGTGTGAGGCACTGCTAAAGCCAGTACAGAAGATGGCTGCATTCTCCGACACGAAATTGAGCCAAGATAGGGCGTGGACAAACTATGTAGCCATCTTCGTAACTACATTCCGTCGTGAGTTAGTGGCACATCTTGCAATCGCCAAGTAACCCTAGATGTAAGGGATATTACTCGTTGCTACTTCCCGAGGTAGTCGAATAGATATTCTCCAATTGAGTAGCTATTCGTGCTTGCATGTCTTGAAGTAATTCTTGCAACCAACGCGTCATGGGTACATCTGCTTGAGGACTCGCATTGTCATCTTCTTGCAAAAATACGCTCGTAAATTGAGGTAAGACGTCGTTCTCGATCACGCATTTGATACGGTCTTGTTGAGGCGTCGATCTGCACATGATCGACGCTAACTCGCTTGAATCTTTCGACACATTCAATTTATTTGCCCCGTTGGTGTTCAGCTGCACGTTGACTGTGGGCGCCACGACACATAACCGCAGAGACGATTCAACTAAACATTCCAATGCACGCTCATGCGAACGCTTTTGGCTTTGCATCAACTCGTCTCGATCCGCTAGTTCGGCTTCCACTTCCGATATTCTCGTCTTTAAAGATCGATTTTCTTGTTGAAGAGTATTCAAAGCCTCCGATAGTCGATGTTGTTCTGCTGCACCTTCACTTAACAATTTATCGCGTTCGATCTGAGCAAGATCCACTGTTTGTTGCTGCTGAAGGTCGTTACTGGAGATCAGATATTGAATTCGCTCTTCTAGGTCTAGGATACGCGTCTTCATCGCTTCGTTCTCTTTCTTTACAGTGGAGTGATGGGCAAGCAAAGCGTGTAATCTTTCGACATCGGCAACTTTCTGCGCGATCCGAACTTTGAGAGCTTTTATGAGCGTCTGGTTCCGCTGTTCAACCGCTAGCGTTTCAGTTTTGTGCTGCTTGATAAGTTGTTGGATCTCGGCTTCCTTGGCTATCACATGATCACGGGTCTCCTGATTTGCTCTCTGGATAAGCTGGAGTTCTTTTTCACGACTTTGATGAATATCTTGAACGGATACTTGCAACGTCTTGTTGATTTCCTCAAGTTCCAACACTCGTCGCTTGTATTGGGAAATCTCTCCATTGCACGCAGATTTTTCGCTATCGCGTTGCTCCTTCTCCAACTTCATCGCCATCTGAATCTCTTCTAAGGTTTTGGAAACTTTATCCAGATCTTGTTCGCGTTCATCGCGTTGCTGTTTCAGTAGTTGTACCTCTCCTTTTAAAATTTCTATCTCACACTGTTGATCAGCCATACTCTCCTCATCATAGCTCTGTTGTAATGTACACTGCGTTGCATTGTCCACAATCTCCTGTTCGACGAACGGTTGAGTGAATTTGGTACTGTCAATTTCTGACTGCAGTCGCTTCACTTGTTTATCCAGTTTAGCGCACTCTGTCTCGACGAGAATGCAGTGCTCAGCTTTTTCTGCAAGTTTCTCTCGTAACTTCGCAATTTCATTTACATTACAACTTCGTTCTTCCCACAGTTTGTGCTGAGACGCTTCGATTTTGTCGACATATTCCCGAAGCTCAGCAGTAGCAGCATGAGCCTGTTCGCTCTCTTGGTGAGCCTTTATTGCCCTCGCTCGTGCGATTGAACACTTTGAACACCCTGAATTTGGCGTTGGCGGCACTTTGGCTACAGGCGAAGCCGATGTAGCACGATACTGACCACCAGCAACCACTTTACTTTGCCCTCGCATCCTGGAAAAATCATTCGAAAACTGTTAGAGAACAAACCAACTCTAGCGATGTTGCAGAGGTTCGTACTTCTCCACTAGCTTCGCACGGAGTAGATCGTTCTCCTGACGAAATAAGGCGTTATCGTTGCGCAGTCGCTGGAATGCGTCCGTGGAATCGTTTTGAATTGCGTTGCCTGGCTGCTTATCGCGCTCGGTTCTTCTCTCTGTTGAAGCATTTCGTGATGTTACGTTACTCGAGGATGGTCGCTGCAATAGGCTTTCGTGTTGTTGCCAACTAGATATCATTGCCACTTCGCTGTGTCTTGTACGTCGAGCAACCGAAGTTGCGCCAGCACTTTTTGGTATCATCCCTAACGCTCGACGTACTGTGAAAACTCCTGAAGTCGGTCGAGTTTCCAGTATATCCGTAGTCGGTGGATCCGAAAACTTGCCATTGATCGACGGCAGAGCGGAGCATTGCTCCATAGCTAGCAAAGATTGAAAGTGCTCGTGCACATCAGCAGCAAAGCGAGTTATTTTCTTGTTTTCCACTTCAACAACACCTTGTTATTTTTACGCTATTCTCTAATAGGGAGCATCACTATTTCCATTTTTGTGTCGATTTCGAAGCATATTGACGCGTTGTGTTCAATGATGGAGACCTTTTCACTCGAGGTGAGTCAAGGTCGCTCTTGTCAGTTCCTACAGTTGCCTCTAGTGCTGGTGTTTGAAGTCGTTTTAGCAGTGCTTCATTGGCCTGGTACAGTTTCTTGCAGACCGCATCTTTCTTCTGGAGTTGGTCGTGCAGAGTTTCGAGGCCACTTGTAAGCTCCTGTGACTGCGCTTCAAGCACCCCACACTGTCTTTTATACGACAAGTATAGCTGTGTCGACTCTGTAATCTTGGCTACCAAAATTCTCTGCTCTTCGGCGAGTTCGTCAAACTCAGCGACCATCACATCCACATATTGTGTCAGTTCCTTGGACAAATGTTTCTTCAATTCCAACAGATGAGCTGCTGCGGAATTATCGTCCGGGTTGGCTTTGCTTCGATCCTCATCGGAGAAATTGCTGTCGAAAGATAGGAAGGCTGTAGCTTCTGCTAGAAGCACGTTCTTGCACTGAATTATACGCGATCGCTTGGCGTCCAGTTCTCGAGCATGTTGGTTGACTGCTCGTGCTCTTAATTGCTCCAGTTTAAGCTCGCACTCTTCGGTATGATCCATTTCCAATTGACGTAACTTTGTAGCCATCTCCTGGTCTAGGGTTTGCTTTAAGGTTTCAAGTTCTTGACGGCATTCCTGCTCAAATTCATGGTGATGAGCGTCAAGGGCCTTGATTCTACGTTGTTCTGCGTCGTCTTTGAGTGCTTGGAGACTCTCTTGGTGAGTGGCTTGCATAGTGTCATGAAGATCCATAATGGCTACACGGTTTTTCTTGTCAAGATCCCGTTGTAAACGTTCCTGTTGCTCACGATGAGATCGTGTCAGCATTTGTTTGAGTTTGTCCGTCTCTTTTTCAAGCGCGAGTGCAGCTTCTGCCTTCATCTCATCAATTTTCTCTTCGTGTTCTGTCTCCAACAACTTGCGAAGCTGTTGCAACTGAGCTTGAGCGCCGAACGCGAGAGCCTTATGAAGTTTCTGGATCTCCGTGTCTTCTTTTTCATAGTGAGATGTTTGGATCTCTTGTTTCAGTTCTGCTGTTCGCTCTTCTTGAGCCTTTAGAACTGAAGCTACAGCTGCTTCTCGGTGGTCGTACAGTTCTTGCTCCAGTTTTTGTCGCTGCTCGACTTCCCAGCGCTCAAAGGACGAACGCTTGTCGTCTTGCATCTGTTTCAGTCTAAGTGATAATTCCTCTTGCAGCTGCGTGCTAAGCTCTTGTTTCTCTCGCTCCGTCTCGGATATTAACTGCGATTCCAATTGAGATAAACTCTCCTCCATTGCAGCATTATGACTGGTATGTAGCTCGTTTAGTGCTCGATGACGCTCCTCAATGAGTGCATTTCGAGTTTTCTTCACGGCTGTAGCCTCCTCAAGCTCATATTCCTCCATCTTCGCTCTCACGAGCGCTTTTGTTTCTTTCTCGTATTTTTCACGAAGCTGCATGAGCGTCATGTGCTTCTTGGAGTCATATTTACGTTGCAACTCCTTCAAGTACGCAGCTTGTGTTTGCTGATGATGTAGCTCAATCTTTGTAGTGCTCGTCTCAATGTCGCGTTGGCAACGTGCAGCAAACCGCTTGACTGTCGCAGCCTTGCGACTCAATAAAACTTCTTCGTCCTCAATTGTGTTTTTTACTTCCCAGGATGACGACGTGTTGCTTGCCATGGAATCGGATAGTGAAGAGCTTAATGCCTTACTAACAACTCGGCTTCGGTCGTCTGTGCTGCTGACGGATGAAACTCGCGATGCATCTACGAAAAAAAAAAACAAGATGTAGCTATAAGCTTACGTGATAAAAAAATAGTTTTGAAGACATAACTTACCACAATATTTCGCACGCTGCAAAAGTTGATCACATTTCATTAGCGTCGATGCCACCTGCTTCGCTACAGCTTCTGCCTCTTGTTGAGCCTTCGACAGTTTGGAAGAAGTGGGCGACGAAGTATCCAAGTTTGAAGATACAGACAACGGAGACTTTGGAGATATCTCATCAGCGTTGTCGTGACTAGCGCCGTCTTGTATCTTGGTTTGAAGCGGAGCGACTGCATTTGGGTTGGATTCGCTGTCCTTGCGTTGCCTTCTCCCTCGGAATGCGCTCAATCGCGTCTCAATGGCCGCAAGTTCACGCTCCACATCGTGACAAGCTTCCGTTGCGATAGCGTTCGAGCTTCTGTCTTTCGAACTCTCGTCTGACAGCGACGAGATAGACAACGCCTTTGATTGGCGACGCTGCGGCTTCGTGTTCTCGGGTGGATCCGCTGCAGATTGCAGCTCGCCCTCGAGACTTACAGTCGTGTCTGCAGCGGTGACGGACATGGGTCACCTTGGTTACTGAATAGGAGCGATGGATAACTGCTCTGTACTGATGAAGAGGCGTTCGTTACAGCCCGAACAGCCCGATATCGTAATGACGAGGGCATAAGAGGGTGTATATGAAGCACTATGCTACATTACCATGGACTTCCTAGACCTATGAGCACTACCCATGATACAGCAACATGTTCATCCATGCAAGTGAGCCATGTTCGACTCGACAGATTTTGTTGAAGTTGAAGTGTTTTGCTAAGCACGGCAGATCCATTTGCAGGTGCGCACGTGAGACTTATCCAACCCGTGGGTCATAATTTCTTACGAAATTCAGTCACTTTGACACGGGTCACCTCATCCTTGACCCGTTAAGACCTTTGCTGTCTGTTCAGCATTTTGGCTTTTGCTCAAATTAGCGCATGGGAGTTCGCAGCACCAAGTCTCCAGTCTGCAGTAACCAACCTTCTAGTGAACAGAGTATAGCCATGTCGAAGCCTCAGCAGCATGAGCGTACCATGCAGTATCAGGACGAGCTACCGTCGCTGCCGCTGCCCCCACTGGAACAAACGCTAGAGAAGTATATCAAGAGCTGCGAGGCGCTGCTGACACCCAGCGAGCTGGATCATACCAAGGCTGTATGCCACGATTTCCTTCATGGCGTGGGGCCTCAACTACAGGCTATTCTACAGGAACGCGCCGACACGGAGCGTAACTGGATCGAGGAGTGGTGGGAGACCTTCGCGTATCTTCAGCCGCGCTATCCTTCGGCCATCAACATCAATTGGTACGGCGTACTACCTGGTAACTGGGGACCGAGGGACATGAGCCAATGTGAAGCTGCATCCATCTTCACACATGCCATCCTCAAGTTCCGTAAGAACTTACTCGAGTACGTCAACCGTTACGTGACTTTTATTCTAGTTGGGAGGTATGAGTTTAATTGGAACTATACATGACTTACCTACAGGGAGAAATACCCGGTGGAGAAGATGATGGGTCGACCGCTGTGTATGTATACGTATTCACGTATGTTCAACACGTGCGTTATTCCTGGAGAGGAGTGCGACGAGATGGTCTCGTATCCACATGATGCCAAGCACATTCTCGTGTTGAGAAACAATTGCATGTGGGCAGTGCAAGTGTTTGGGGACAATGGGGAGGACGTCCCACTCGCGGACATTCTGAGGTAAGATTCGTTGTATTTTTACTTAAAAGTGTTGGGATTATTCTAATTATTTTTTATGAACTTTATTTATTGTAGACAATTTGAGCTCGTGCGAGATGAAGCCACGGGCCTATTCGACTTGGAGCGCTATCCACCCGTCAGTGTCCTAACATCGGAGAATCGCACTAACTGGGCCAAGGTACGGCAACTACTGTGACTTTACCAATAAGAATTTGCTGATTGTGTGATAATTTTACGTTTTTTGTAGGCTCGGGATCACATTATGTCTCTGGACGACATTAACAAGCAGTCATTCGACTTGATCGAGCGGGCGTTGTTTTGTGTCGCGCTGGACGAGAGCTCTGCGTCGACTTACGACGAGATCGCTCGCAACTGTTTGCTCGGAGATGGACGTAATCGCTGGTATGACAAGCCGTTCACGCTCATTATCCACGAGAACGCTCGTGGTGGTTTGAACGGCCAGCACGCATGGGCTGATGCCCTGGTGGTGGTTCGCCTATTCGACTACTGCATCAAGTACGTGAACGAGAACTTCAAGGCCAAGTTCGCGAACCGTGCTGACTTGAAGCCCACGCTTAACCTCAAGCCGAAGCGGCTGGATTGGGTACTGGACAATGCTGCATACACAGCTATTGAATGTGCCAGTGCAGCAGTAGGGAAGTTGATCCACAACAGCGACATCGCCACGATGCAGTTCAACCACTACGGCTCAGCCTTCCTCAAGCGATACAAGTTGACACCGGACTTCTTCATGCAGATGGCTATTCAATTAGCACACTACAAGATGCACACGCGAGTTCCTGCAGTTTACGAGACAGCACACACGAGAATGTTCTATCACGGTCGTACCGAGACAATTCGGTCGCTGTCGAAGGAATCGCTAACGTTCGTGAAGACAATGGAGTCGAACGCTTCGGATGGAGCAAAGTGGGACGCGTTGAAAACTGCTATTGAGGCTCACAAGGAGACGCTGAAGGATTGCTTGACTGGAGACGGTATTGACCGTCATCTCATGGGTCTACAGATCGTGGCCGAGATGTCTGGCATCACGCCCAAGCCCTCGCTGTTCACCGATCGAGCTTTCGAGGCGAGCAAGAAGTTTCTGATTTCCACGAGTAACATCAGTGGCGGCCCCGGTGCGAGTCCAATCTGGGGAGGGTTCTCGGCCATGTACAATGAGGGATACGGTGTGTGCTACGCATTGCAACCGGATCGTATTAACGTGAGTATCACATGCTACCATGTGTGTCCGGAGACGAGTGCAGCCACGTTCAAGCGCTACTTGGAGACTGCACTGTTGGAAATGGTGGACCTCTGTCTCACACGCAACGTCATCTACGTCGGCTCGTCGAAGATCTAGGCGCGGTGGGCTCAACTTGAAGCCATCTTTCGTATTCTACCAATCCATTAAATAATTGGAGCGATTTCTATAGCCATTTAAAGACTTTGTACCTGTTTTTTTTTTAAACTCATTCAGCGAGGTGCCAAACAAGGTTTCATAAACTTCTTTTTAGAGGCACCATGCCTGATTCTTACTTCTAGTATCGATTACCGATTTACTATAGTGGGTGCAACTAGTATGGCAGCAAGCTGCCAGCATCCTTACCCCGGTTGCTCTGGGGGGCCGATCGGATCATTCGGATGTTATCCGATTAAATACTCTATGACCAATGAAAAATGCGCAGGGTGCTCTTGGCCAAATACCTCGACTCCTAGGCTGTGCATCATGGTTTATTCAACATGAATATTCCTGTCTTCGACGGTTTGTTACGTGTACGCTTTACCAGCAGCCAAACCTCCTGGCGATGACCTTATCATTCACCTTTTACATACAGTTGTGTTGCGATCTGATTGGTAATTAATGTGCAATGCAAACAGCCAGAAAACTCTTTAGTTAGTTATTGGTTTGACTAATTTCAAAAGACCTACATGTACCAGAATAATAAGTGATGACTAGATAAAAGTATTCATTCGTAAGTTTAGCAAGGGCAGGACTTTATATTCGTCCTTTGTGACGACCTGCAAGCATTGCGCCATTTTATAGAATCCAGAGCTGTTCCATGCGAAGCGCATGTATCTTCAGGTTACTTTTTCAAGATATTTAAAAAAAAACATTATAACGAAAGCTTTTGTCTACAATCCAGTTTGCAAGGTAGTACTGAAGTATGAGGGATAATGAGAGACGACGTGTGGTTTCAGGTGCTCAACCACGAAGGAGAAGAGAAGGCGGGACGAACCCAAGCCTATGACATGTCTGACAACTCACTTGTTGATCGTCTCCGGTATGCTGTAAAAGCCCAGTGCCCGAATGCCACCGCGAGCTGTGATGAACCTTCGGGTCTACAAGGACATCGCTTCGTATCGCAACAAGCAACCGTTAGATTCTGGAAAACCGTTGGCCGATATTGGAAGCGAGACAACATTCATTGTGGAATTGCCACCGCCGCGCCAGCCTCCTTTAGAGCAGCACGATGTGATTCGTGTGCTAGTCGAGGAGTGGTTTGCGAGCGATTCGCTGTTTTCTGTACCCAGGCGAGTCAAACTCGACGATGCAGATGAAGATATAGGCGAGGATGCAGACAATGTCGACGATGACCAAGCCGGCAGTCACGATCGCGTTATGGCCGATGATGAAGTACATATCACGATGAGATTACACCTACTCAACAAATCAAAATACTTCGATATGGCTAGCTTCCCCCGCTCTTAAATGCAGAGGAACGCTTAAAGCGGGTCATGGTGCACGAGGCGTACGACGTTATCTTCGACCGAGTGATGGAACACGTGCAGAATTGTTTGGAAAGCAAATGTGCTGGCCGTGTCATTATGACTGGCAACCCAGGCATCGGTAAGAGCCGATTCTTACTCTACTGCGCGTTTCAGCTGATCAAGTCGCACTCAGCGGTTGTAAAATCTCTTCCTCCATTTGAGTTGGTACTGAACTGTGATGAGCTCTTCTTCCTGTATGAGCCCGACTGTCGGCGTTCCGCTATGTGAACTTTTCAAGCTTTCTCTCCAAGCAAATGTACTCCGACTCGTCGATAATAGCTCCAACAACATGGAACGGTGGAGTGGGGACACAAGAGGACGAAATTCATCGAGTACTTCAGATGGTTCCCTGCAACGATTCCTTTCGCGACGCATCGTGTTTGACCTTTGTGTTCGACTGCGTTGGCGAGCTCCTTATCGATAAGGCCGAGGGTGACGACCTGGTGAAACTTTCAGCGCTTGCCGTCACTCAACCATGAGAAGGACATTTACTAGTGCTGGAAGCTCGACAATGTTTGCTGCACAAGATGGTTGAGTCGTGCGTTGTGGCTGGGAGTTGAATCATCTTTTTATTTGCATAATGACTGGTAATATATGTACATTAGTGTGGCCTTTAAAATATTTTAAATATTTTTGGACGTCCCCATTGATGATTGGCTGGTTTAAAATTTAAGATCCTGAAAGGTCGCGTATCCAAGGATCAGATCTTCCAGATTTCGGATGGTCTCCAATGTAAATCGAAAGATTTTCTTCTCCACTTCCAGATTCTCTAGCCTTGACACGCAGCTTTATTCACGTACTCATGGTGTTTTGTCGGCTGCTGTCCGCCGCGGTCTTCGGGTTTGGACTTGTGAGTTGGAGCGCTCTACCTTCAGCGCAAGCAGCGTTCTACGTGTGTCCTGAAGGATGCGCTGCCATGTTGCTACCTCGAGATATGGAGATGATCGACGACTGCATTTGTGACGACGGAGTGGATACCACAGCAGAGGAGGCGGCAGCAGACGCAATGGACACTGGAGAGTTCATCTGTAAAGGGCGATACAAGTCCAAACGCGGTGCACCAGCCCCCAGATCCTTCGCGGATTGCGACTGCTACCATCCGTACGAGAAGAACCCAAAGACGCAAGAATGCGTCCTAAATGGCTGCCCACGTGCAGGCAACTATGAACCGAAGCCCGACATGCTACAGGTCGAGTCGCTCGCTGACTGCACGTGCACAACGCCCTTTGTCAAAGTCGAGACTACTGGACAATGTGTAGGCGCAGACGACGTCAAAGCACCAGGTCGTGCCTACCAATGCCCACCCAACTCGACACCGACACCCGGTATTGTACCGCAATCATTCACTGACTGTCACTGCAGCTGGGGCTTCGTACGCAACAGCCTCGAAGCTTGCGAACGAGAGCACGCCGCTTATGTATGTCCTGTAAACTCCATCAAGCGGTCGGATCTTCCGATTGGGGAACGTCCTCGAGGATTCTTTGACTGCGAGTGTCTCTCTACTGGAGACTACCATCGAGATGAGGAAGCACACGCTTGTTGGCCAGCATCTTACATGCAGGCTCGAAAGGCGAAGAGGAAACACAATAACGTTCGGGATACCGAAGTGGATGAGTACGCCAACTTTGAAGTGGTAGACAGAGAAGCCACAGCGTACCAATGCCCGCCATTCTCTAGAGCTGTAGCCACCGTTCCGCACTCAATCGAGCAGTGTCAATGTATCCCCGGATACGCCTGGAAGATGCCAGAGATGACGTGTGTACGCACCTCTGCGTACAAATGTCCCCAACACGCTTACAAACGCAACAAACTTCAGAATTCCGAAGTCGAAACGAGCTTTGAGGACTGTGCGTGTGCACGTGGCTACTTCCTTGATGCAGTGGCTCAACGTTGCGTTCCGTGGATGTTAGCCAACTCGAACTCGTGTCCTCCGTTCGCCGTTCTCACTCAATGGCCTCTACAGAGCAATGCCAACTGCAAATGCGTGTACGGACTCAACGAAACCATTCACGAACAAGTGGACGATACTCGACGCAACGCTGACGACCAAGAAATTGTGAGGAATCGAAAGAAAGAGTGTAATTCGAGACCAGTAGATGCATCACGTCCAGATTTCTCGCAGTGTCCACACGACTCAATGGCTACAACGTGGCCTGTGGAGTCTGCAGATGACTGCACTTGTCTGTCTGGCTTCGAGATGGCTCCATTGAGTGAACAAGAGATCTCTCGTGGCGTAGGTGATGGCTTCCACTGTATGGCTACATCTGAGAGTAAAATACTCGCTGATGAAGCAGCAGCGGCCTGTCGAGCACCTGGAATTATTCACTCGTTAAGTGGAGAGTGTCGTCTACCCGTTGAAGAAATTCCAGAGCAGAAACTCACAGATACCAAGCCAGAAGGCGTACTGTTCAAGGGTATTGAGTATCACTACGAACTCGTGGATGACACGATCATGGTCATCCAAGGTGACGTCGCTATCGGTGAACGGTTTGTATGGGACGACGTGGATCCTGACGATCCAGAAGAAGTGACAACTCGTATTGAACACGTTCTGCATGGCTACTATGATTCAGGGAGGGACCACCGATGGCCACACGAACTCATGTGTTTCCAAGTGGATAAGAGCGCTCGCTCGTATCTACGCACCTTGTTGTCAGCTACAGAGCACATAACGCATGCTACAGGCTTCAGATTCCATCGGTGTGCGGGTGATAATTGCCGTACTGATACGAGCTGCAGAAGTCACGACTATGTGGTCGTACAAGGCGTCGAGTCTTCTTGTTATTCATTCGTGGGACGTATCGGCGGACCGCAACGACTAGGAGTGTCTGCAGACTGTGGACTTGGCAATGTCGTTCACGTTTTTCTCCACGCTGTTGGGCTAAGACACGCAGTGGACAGAGCAGATCGAGACGAACACGTACGTATCGCGTGGGAATGTATCCCTGAGTCCAAGCGAAGTTATTTTGTAGTGGAAGAAATGAGCTCTGCACCCACTACGCGAGCGAAGGACCGAGTGCTGGATCCTCCTCCGTACGATCTCTTCAGTATCATGCACCATCCAGTGGATGCGTTCGTACACTCCGACTCTGATGACACCATGCCGCAATGGTGTCCTAGTGTCGTTCCGTTGATCGCAGACGACGATAAACGTATAGCAGTGATGAAGAAGATGGGCCAACGCGAACGAATGACCACAACTGACGTCAAGTCTGTATGGGCTTTATACCCAGGGCTCAAGAAGAAGCACCACGACCATCAAAAGTCCGGAGAGAGTGGAGAAGCCCAAGCCGAAGAACTGCACGATAGTTTCTTGCATACAGACGAAGACGCGGTAGAGACCGAGTCTTCTGGGTATGGCGGACAACATCGCGGCTTCGGCCAACGCCTGGTAAGTTTCTTGGGCGCAGTCGTGACGCTTGTGGGTTTCGGGGCAATGCTGGCTTTTATCACCACGGAGCTAAGACGACGCGCACTGCTGAGCTCTGGGGATGACTATTTCTACGAGGCGCCACTTATTGACAGCAAGAACGACATCTGAAGCCATTTCCTGAGTGTACCGAGTCTATAATGCACAAAACAAACGTAACAAATTCACAGAAGGTTGCAGTATTTGAAGAATCGTCATCTTCACTCTAAAAAGTACTGGAATGACGTTCCATCTACTTGTCCTCAGCATTTTCCTCCGTTGCCTCCTCGCTGCTGGCCTCGCCGACCTGCTCCGGCTCCTCCACCTTGGGCTCCGGCAGCTTGCCATCTCCTCCTGCTAATATGTCGGCCAGTCGTGCATTCACGTACACGTCCCCCTTGTCTGCAAGGTACTTGGCCAGCGGAATCTGTGTAGAAAACAAATAAAAAAATCATGAATAAAACTCCACAACCAGCTACAGTCAGCTCCACGTACGTGCTCCTTGAGGATGCCTCCGTTCCCGTCCTGCAGCAGCTCGATGATGAGGTGGGAGTTAATCTGAAGCTCGTTGGCGGCCTCCTTGGCTAGTGCCACAGCCTCGTCCCATTTGCCCTGCTTCTTGGCGTTGAGCACACGGAACGTGTACATCTTGTAAGACATGGGCACACGCTTGGCCGCCATGATCTGTACGATCTCGTCGACGGTCTCCTGGTCCTCCTGCTTGGCAAAGTATTCGGCCAGGCGCACAAAGCTCTGGTTCTTAACGTAGTGACGCACATTTTCGGCCTGACGCAGGAAGTCAAGCGCCGTGTCGGCCGCGTCCTGTTTGATGCAAGCCGAGAAGAAGCTGCCGGTCGCGAATGTGGACGGGTAGGCCATCTTGGCATCGCACAGTAGAAGCGTCTTGTGCACCTGCAGAAGCTCGTCCTTGCCCTTCATTTCACGCACAATGTGGTCGATCTTAAGCGGCGTGAAGTAGAGCGGAGCCGTGGGGATGGACAGTCGTGCACCGATGGTCGTCAGCGCCTTAGTGATGTCTGCCACGCTACCCTCTACCTTGGGGTACTCCCAGTTGCCGCTGAAGGCGCGTACCGCCTGCTTACGAGCGGCCAAGGCAGCCGGAGACGCGCGCAACACCAGCGAGCGTACAGCCAGCATCGTCCTAGTAGATCAAGGCCAGTCAAGTGTTCGGCCGCAGCCTCTCGTTGCTCAAAATACCGTATTTCAACCAACTGTATACCGGTAATGGTTCAAATAGAAGGGATTTGTCTCCTAAAGGGTACACCGATACTAAACCGGTTTTCTGCTTTGTCTGGCTGTGCTTGTCTATCGGGCACAAAGGTAAGGAGACCGAAGGAACGATGTCGGGAGGTATGCAGGCGTTCCGCACGGTCATGTCGATTGGCCGGCGCCAGGGCGCGCGGCAGCTGGCGGCACGCTCACAGCGCGCACCGTTCTCGGCTGCGGCCGTACCCATGCGCTCGGCAGAGGAGTGGATGGAGAACATCAAACTGTCGGCCAAGAAGGACGTGCTGATCAAGCGCACGAAGCTGGCGTCGTTCCTTAAAACGGTGACGACGAGCGAGCAGCTGGAGGCGTCCAAGGAGATCATGAAGATTTACGAGCAGAAGCGCGTGGACCCGGATGCCAACGCCGCGGGTCTGTTCGTGAAGAAGGCGCTGGAACTCAACGCACCCGACGTTGCGTTCGATGTGCTGGAAGCCAACTACCGTATCGGCCTCTTCCTGGAGCCTGCTACACTTAACAAGCTGCTGTCCAAATTCCTTAAGGACGGAGAGTTCGACAAGGTCTTTACGCTGCACAAGATCGGCCACAGCAAGTACAACGTCAAGAGCACGGAGCGCACCTACGACATCCTCATCCGGGCGGCCATCGAGCAGGAAGACTACGACAAGGCCGTGGACTTCCTCAAGACGGCAGCGTACGTGATATAAGCTGCAGTTATATCGATGTAGTGATGCTAATTTTGTTGTTGTTGTGGCTACAGTGAGGCGCAGAAGCTGCAGCGCGTGACGTGCAACAACCTGCTGTTCAAGCTGAAGGACAACGACATGCAGGATAAGGTACGGTCATACAATATTAAGGGTGCTAGTGATTCAGATATTAACGTTGGCTACTGCTTCTGCTACAGATTGACGAGGTCGCTGCGCTCATGAAGATGGCGGGTGTTGAGCCTAACGACACGACCAAGAAGATCCTGCTGTAGACCGGACCTGTCTAGCCTGGCACAAGCCATTGCACATATAGCCACAACGAAATAAAAAGCAAAAAAAGCACTGAAGGACAATACCTGCATGGCCGGACGGTTGATTTAGTTTTCCGTAACCAAGTTGCTGTCGATAGAAGTCGTTTATGCGTTCTACGCGAAGGTTTATTACCATGATTTGGCTACAGCGGATGGTCTCTACATCCCAGTATTTCCTTCTTACCAAGTGAGTCTAACTTACTTGGTCTGGTTCTTGACGCCGAGGATACGGGCTCGGATCTCGTCCTGGTCTCCCAGGTAGAAGGCGCTGAGAGGTGCAATGGCGTCCTTGTGCGGGATGGGCTTGAGGTTCTCGTCCAGGTGGTAGACGAGCGGGGCGCCCGTGGGGATGTTGAGGCCCGTGATCTCGTCCTCCGAGATATTGTCCAGGTGCTTGACAAGAGCACGCAGACTGTTACCGTGAGCGGCGATCACCACGTTCTTGCCCGCCTTGATGCTAGGCACAATGGTGCTCTCCCACTCGGGCAGTACGCGGGCGGCCGTGAGTTCCAGAGACTCGGCCAGAGGCAGATCCGCCTTAGGGACGTCCTTGTACCGGATATCATTGCCCGGGTAGTACTCGCTGGACGTGTCGAGGTCCGGAGGCGGAATGTTGTAGCTACGTCGCCACTCAAGAACCTTCTCAGCACCGTGCTTCTCGACCGTGGCCTGCTTGTCTAGACCCGTGAGCGCGCCGTAGTGGCGCTCATTGAGACGCCAGGTCTTGAACACGGGGATCCACATCTGGTCGGTCTGTTCCAGCACGTGCCAAAGGGTACGGATAGCGCGCTTCAGATACGACGTGTAGGCAATGTCGAAGGTGTATCCCTCCTTCTTAAGCAGCTGCCCGGCAGCGGCCGCCTCCTTGTTGCCCTTTTCCGAGAGCTGCACGTCGTACCAGCCCGTAAAGAGGTTCTTCTTGTTCCACTCACTCTCACCGTGGCGAATCAGCACCAGCGTGTGCGTGTGCTTCATGGCCTTCTGCTGCTGGTGCAGCATGCCCAACGAGCGGTTGGCCACGCGCGAGGACATGGCGCGCGAGGACATGGCGAGCGAGCGACGCAGAGCGAGAACCATTGTGAGGCTTTGGCTTGAGTGACAAGACGCAAATCGGTTTCTGCTTGGGGGCGAATCGATGGATCGGATCTGTGGCTCAACTTGCACAGTCATTGGCCAAAACAACTCACAATCTTCATGAGTAAGCGACCGTCAGATGCCATCAGCACGAAAAAAACCATCAAAAAGATTTTGGGGTTTTTCTGGAGGAATGCCAACAGCAAGGTTTATTTGGGTTATTCGGAACCCAAATAGACTGGGTCAAATTTTGGGTTGTAATAAGATAGGTTTGGATGGCATTCAGACGAAAAAAATCCATTAAAATTTTAATGGTTTTTTCGTCTGAATGCCATCCCGGCCAATCAGATCTTCTCATGATATATAGTAGTATTATTATGAGAAGTAGCGCATACTACCATTTACGTTGATTTACTACTACTAATTCTATTATGATAGTGCTCTTATACTTGATGAACAAATCAGGAGCAACTTATTCGAATCAGATGCTATTGAAATATAGGGAAACTCAGATCCGCTCAGTTCAAAAGCAAACATGCTCTTCAACTGTCAAACTCGTTCTTCATCCATTTTTCAAACGGAAGGAATCAGAAGCGATACCGGAAATTTGAGAAAAAAAAGCAGTATTCAAACTTAAATGATTAAATGACAAGACAAGTATATTGAATAATATCCTGTCAGTCCAAGATCGCCTGCTAAAGCTAGCAGTTGCACTGCATCATTACAAAAACAGAAGCCGATGGAGCTGCGATATCAAACGTGCATTGATTCATTCTGTGTCGCTCTTCTCGTCGCAGTGCGAGTCCGAGTAGAGTTGGCTTTATAGCATGCAAAGTACTGAAGTAAGCGCTGACGGAAAAGCCAGAGAACTACAAGTTGCAGTCCGTTCCAGTGCAAGACTCCGCGCGCATGAAAGCTGCTGACTGACTAGATATCCTCCTGCGACTTCCGCACAATACGACGGCAGCGCTTCTTGAAACCATCCTTGTCGGTTCGCCACTCCACCTGAACAACATAACATCATCAGTTCGACCAACACTCTCAGACAAGCACTCTTCATTTAACGTACCGCAGCGTCGATATTGGCGGGTGAGTCGTCGTTCGGGTCCGAGAGCATGGAAATGACCGACACTAGAATAGACTCGACGCCGAGAATCGGACGCCATCGCTCATCCGCCGTCTCCTGCTGGTTCAATTGGTCCTCTCCAGGAGGGTGAAGGATCGAGATGCATACCACGCCGTTCGGGTACACTACAGCAGATAAATAAATCATCGTCAATAACCCCACTTCTCTGCCAATGCGGTAGAGGTAATAGTCCTCTTAAAGATGGTGTCCACATACCATTGGGGTGCCACATCTCCGACTTGAACGTCATCTTGGGCGGCATGTTGGGGAAATCGGACGGAAACTCGAGCACCGCCTTGAAGAATCCACCTTCGTACAGTGTATCGGGCGGGCCAACCAGCAGGATTTCCCAGTTGAAGATGTTTTCATCGTCGCCCAGACCCACGGATACGCCCTCGGGTGGGTTACGACTCATTTCTAAGTAGCAAAAAGATCCACTCAGTTAACAAACATTTCCATGGGCTATTGGCGGTGTATTGGAGCGGGAACAGCGCCATACGCCAAATTCATGCAAAGGGGAAGAGCATCACACACCTAAAAACTGCCTCCGAAGAAGCTCCTTCGCATAGTCCGTCGCGCCGGCCATCCTTCTCGAAGACTCCGATCCCTTTTAGTTGTGATCGCGTGGCTCAAACCGCCCTCGGAAAACGCTACATGATTGGTTGAAAAGGTTTCAAATATCGACCAATGAAATCTTTATAAAAACGATACGTTGTCAATCTAAAGAGTGTCTTCTGTACATGGACACTTTAGTTGTGTCCTCAATGTTTAATGGAGATCTTCATCTCCCCTTCTCAATTCGGATCTCGGACAAATTGTTGATTGTGCTCGTCTGAACGAAAGTTGACTTGGCAGGCGCAATGATCGGGCCCTTGATGGCCTGCTCGCGCTCGATCCTCGAGGCAGCATTGAAGACGTACACACCGAAGATTACGAGTACCATTCCGCACCAGTTGAGCGGCGTCACATCCTCTCCATAGCGATAAATGGACAGTACGATGATCAGAGCGCGCTTCACGCAGTTGGCTACACTGTGTGTTACCGGCGACACCAGACTCATTAGCATGTACGCAAGCGCACTCTGGATGTAGAAGCACATGCCGTCCAAAACGAGCACCAGGAAGACGTACGTCGTCGAGCGATCTGTCTTCTTAGCTTCCAGAGCCGGATCAGGTGGCGTCGCCATCCAGTTGTAGGCGATGAACATGAGCTGCATGGCCACGGCGATAATGCTAGTGTACAGCTGCAGTTGCGAGGTTCTGCGAGATCATAGGAGTAAGTACATTGGATGACGCAGGCAGCAGCTGCTTGCACACTTACGAGTAAGAGCGGTTCAGTAGTCTCTTGGTCAATACGTTCTGGATGCAATCAACACAGTTGGACATGAGCGCTGCAATGAATCCGATGACGTGGAAGGAACTGTCCGACAAGCTGCAGAAAATGAGGCCCGAGACGATAGGAATAAGCGAAAAATTCACCCTCCATCCCGTGCGCTGTCCCAGCAACAAGTAAGTCAATACGACCGTGAAGAATGGCGCCGAGGACTTGATCGTTTCTGGAACGAGAGGTTCATACAATGAGCTCAACGTCACGACATTTGTACGGCGATGACAATGCGCAACGTACGTGTGAAGGAGACAGCGATGTATTTAAGCGCCGTAAGTCCCAGCAAAACAGTGAGGATGCGCACTCCAGCGAGCAGCACCATGTCCTTGAGTCCGTCGTCTAGCACCTTGCGCATGCTACGTTTGCATACGGTCCAGCCAACGAGGTAGAGCTCAGAGCCCAGGCCACCCACGACAGACATACCTAGCTGCGCGAGCGACAGCAAATTGGAGTCCACACGCAGCTTGGCCACCACGTAGCGGTTAGTCCACAGCGTCACGAGGCTGATCACATACCAGGCTGCACGAAGACAAGTGAGTCCACAGCAATCCGAGAGGATACAACAATACGAAGTACACACCAGCAATGCAGACGACGACTTTGCTCTCAGTGTTATGCAGGGCGAAAGCGGCCTTCTTGTCGTGGAACTCCCCCATGGCTGGAGCTGCTACGTCACGCCCTGACTCGCGGTGCCAAAGTGTTCCTGTACAACGCGACTGAACTTTACCAGCAGGCGGGATCTGATTGGACGCTCTGATAGGCTTTTGGCGATTGGTCGAAATTGTTGTTAAATTAAAATGGGCTCAAAATACATGGCTACATTTAGCTTCAAGGACTGCAAGCTAAAAGCTCGGCGAGGCTCTGACGAACTTGCGGCATTGCTGCTGTCATGGGGGCGTCAAGCTCCAAGCCAGCGCCACACAGGATCGAGCCGGAGGCTACAGGAGTGGAGGTTTTCCAGAATCCGACGTCTGAAGCTCCGCAAGAGAGCAAAAAGCGACAGAAAGCCGTCGCTCCAACTCAAGGGGCCGCAGTACACGTTGTGCGAACAATTATGCAAGAGTCAATGCTAACAGCCAGTGGATCAGAGACCGCGAAAGAGGACAAACAGGCAGCAAAAGAGGAAAAGCAAAAGAAGAAACGACGTCGCAGCAAAAAGGAAAAGAACAAAACAGAGCCACCGAAGTTGGTGCGGGCACAGACACAACTGAATGAGCTTAAGAACGTCAAGCCGCTGCTGCAGCAAACCCCCCAGGCGAGACAACAGCACTTTGAACAGATCCAGGTCGCATATGCGCTGGATGAAGAGGCGAAGAAGGCTCCATCATCCGATAGTCGATCACGATTCTTTCACTTCGAAAGCTGGCGAAAGTCACCACAGTTACCTTCTGGTAAAGGTGATTCATCGATGGCCGAATCAGCAACTTCATTAGCACGCTCTCAGGTGAGTTTACCTGGTAACAACTTACATCTTCAATTATACTCATTCTTTTCGATGTCTTGAATAATACAGTCGAACGGAGTAGCCCGACCTTGTAGTCGGAATTCAGTATCAAATGACATAGAAGATATCGAAGACAGTCGCGATCTAAGTGACGTTGAGACGATACCTCTACCACCGGTATCAAGAATGACAGCAATAACAGCACCAACAATAACTACGACACCAAATTTCCTGACAGCTTCCAACCAAGTAGAATATGGTCGCCCAGACATTCAAACAACCCCAGTTATCCGTGTCAAAACGAGCGACCGACAGACTCCTGAAAGAGCCAAGCATTCCTTACGATCCCAGCGCTCAGACCTCCGCCTTGATGACGTAGATGAAGACCTCATGGAGCATATTCTAACGAATGATTATCATTGAGCATTCAACACCAATATTTTTATTAGTGCTAGTACTATTTTATATTTCAAGAATGTCATTCGAACTATAAAATAGTACTAATACGTCTGGTAACGTATTAGTTTTAAAAACTCCATTTAATACCTCGCTTAAGTCCGTCTGATCGTATCATTCGCACAAGGGGGAGAACTGGAAGAAGCTCAAGTCATGGCGCAGTGGAGACGCTTCGCGTTCTTCGACAAGGAGGTTCTCAAGGATGCAAATGGGCCATGGATGAAGGTTCGCCTAATCTCTTTCTAACGTCATAATTTCTGTTCTCTAACTCGGTGTCTAACGCTGGCAATCTCAATCCAACCGCAGGGAGTCGACATCACGAGTATGAGTGCCAATCGAGGGCTCATCTGCGTAGGAGACGCTGACGGTTTCGTGCACTTGGCCAACCGCTCACTGGAGGCCCGTAAGTTCCAAGCACACGAGCTGTTCGTGTCACACGTCGTCATGGTGCGTCATTCATTGCATGAAGATCTATAATACTTGCCTCTAAAGACTAAAATCCGATGAATTCTACTCCGATAGATGAAACGCAGCAACGTCCTAGTGACAATCGGTGACGGCATTGACCCGCGACCGGATGAGCTGCGCGAACAGTCCAAGGCCATCGCTGAAGCTGGCCGATCACCGAACGCCGAAGAAGTACGTGCCATCTACTATTAAATTATCATCAAAGAGAGGCTAATGAGAATATTACGACAATGATTCAGATGTACACTTCCAAACCATCAGGGAAGAGTACAGCAGTGGTGCGTTTCTGGCGCACAGACCAGCAAGACCGAGAGGGCAAGCCCAAGTTATTGCAACAGATTCCTGTTTTCGCCAAGAAATACCCGGAGGAGGCAGTCACAGCGTTCGCAGTGAACGACGACTTGAGTCAATTTGCAGTAGGACTGAAGAACGGCGCCGTGATCTTGTTCCGCAGCGACTTAAAGCGTCGTGCTGACCGTCCCCCTCATCTCCTGCAACCTGCTGGCCAGTATCCAGTCACTGGACTGTCCTTCACCAGTAAACCGGTCACGGCGACTGTATCTCACGTGTTTTTGTATGCCTCTACTCGACGAGGACTCACGTGTTACCACTGCTCGCACGACGACCCTGCCTTGGTGAAGAGTGCTGGTGGAGCTGCGGCTCTCCCACCACGTACGACGGTGCTGGATGAACGTGGCGTGGATATGAACTGCTCGTGTGTGAACGAGGAAGGAGAGATCGCTGTGGGCCAGACAGATGCTGTGTACTTCTACACAACTGAAGATCGCTCGGTGTGTTTCGGCTTTGAAGGCGAGAAGAAGTATTTATGCTTCTTCAAGCATTATCTTCTGGTAGCACACGTGGATCCGCGTGGACGACATCAAGTGAATGTGTACGATCTGCAGAACAAGTTCATTGCGTTTAACTGGACTTTAACCAGCACAAACCCCAAGGGGCCGATGCGTAAGCCACCGCTCGCATCAAACGCCAGAGCCCCCGGTGCACGTTTCGGATTGGATGAAATGGAAGAAGTTCGTCACGTGGTGTGTGAATTCGGCGCTATCTTCGTGGTGTCTTCTATGGGTCATGTATACCGCTTAAGCGAGAAGGATACGACGTCCAAGTTGGAGATTTTATTCCGCAAGAACCTGTATTCGATCGCTATTTCGTTGGCCTTCAGCTCCAACTACGATGTCAACAGTATCATCGACATCTTCCGCATGTATGGAGACCATTTGTACCAGAAAGGAGACTACGATGGATCGTTGCGTCAATATGTGCGTACAATTGGTCATGTCGAGCCATCGTACGTGATTCGTCGCTTCCTGGACGCACAACGTATCCATAACCTCACAGCTTATCTCGAAGCTCTTCACGAGAAGGCTTTCGCTAACGCCGAGCACACGACGCTATTGCTGAACTGCTACACGAAGCTGAAGGATGTCAAGAAGCTGGATAAATTCATCCAACTGGACGAGGTGATCGACGCCAAGAAAACGAAAAGTGACAGTGATTCCGGTGATTTAACGCCCAGGAACGGAGCCGCAGCCAATCTGAACTTCGACGTGGAGACTGCCATCAGTGTGTTATGGGAGAATTATCCGCAACACGCGTTGACGCTGGCGAAGAAACATGAAGAACACAGTTGGTACTTGAAGATTCAACTGGATCATATCAGCTACGTCGACTCAGAGGACTCTGCTGCGTTGTCAGAGAGCGAGAAGGAACGTGTGGCTGATGCATTGGAGTACATCGAGCATCTGAGCTTTTCGGAAGCCGATTCGAACTTAAGGAAGTATGGACGTACTTTGGTTACACACATGCCAGCCCCCACGACGGAGCTGTTGAAGCGTCTATGTACTGGGAAGTTCGTGCCGGGTAACCCGTCGTTGAAGTCGGACCCGGGCGATTTCCTCCACTTGTTTGTGTCGCATCGCGCTCAACTCAAGGAATTCCTGCAGTATATTGTGGAGGTGGAGACGGTGAGCAACACATCGATCGGTAACACGTTACTGGAGATGGTTTTGAGTGACGATGACGAGGAAGAAGGCGGAACTCGCTCGGTGGAGGAGAAGGAAGAAGCGGTGCTGCGTATTCTGGACAACCCTCGCGTTAAGTACGATGAAGACCATGCGCTGATTCACTTGCAGATGCACGGCATGAAGAAGGGCAAGCGCTATCTGTACAACAAGCTGCACATGTACCACATGTTAGTGCAGTTCCACATCGAGGAGAATGATGATCAGAGTATTCTTGAAGAGGTCCGTAAACACGGAGAGAAGGACCCAAATCTCTGGTCGTTGGCCTTGAAATACTTCGCAGAACGAGGACCTTTACCCAAGGGAGCTACCGGTGGAGAAGAGTGGAAGGAACTGAAGCAATTGCTGGCTCTTATTGACACGAACCCAGCGATTCCTCCACTTCAAGTTGTGCAGGTGTTGAGTCAGTCCAGGGAGCTGCCGGTGTCGGTGATCAAGCAGTATGTGGTGAACCAGCTGGCTAGTGACGAGAAGAAAATTGAAGAAGACGAGGAGAAGATCAAGGCGTTTAAGGGTGACACGAAGCAGATGAAGGAGGAGATTGCCCAACTCAGTAGTCGCGCTGTGGTCTTCCAGGCCACAAAGTGCGATCTGTGCAACCACGACTTGGATCTCCCAGCAGTGCACTTCATGTGTCAACACAGTTTCCACTTGAACTGCATCTCCGAGACGGACCGGGAGTGTATCACGTGCTCAATGGACCATCGTCACATTCTGGGGCTCAAGACGCAGCTTGAACAGAAGGCTGGGAACCACGAACAGTTCTACAACCAATTGGAGACCGCGGCGGATGGCTTCCACACCATCGCAGAGTACTTTGGCAAGGGAATCTTCAAGAGCAACGAGGTCGTGCTGGACGAGGGATCCTTCGAGACGCGCTTCAGTGCCGAGTTTTAGCTTGATAAAGTTCACTTGTGTGTTAATTTTCCGCCTTTATCATCACGTCAAGTCGATTATGTCTACTGTATCTCCCCTTTTGCGTTTTCTGCCTGCTCTGCGTGGAACATCATCGTGCTTTTCCTCACCGTCGTCATCTAACAGATCGATAACGGCTGGTACGTTCGCTATGGTCTCATGTGCATCATCCTCCTCCTCAAGGACAATAATATCACTCGCGCTTGGGTCTGGTGCTTGCTGCCTTGCTCCATTGCTAGTCGAGTCCTCGTCGTCATCGCTACTTTCAATTCCTAGCACTTCATGCGACGCTCCTGGATGAAGCACATTGCGGCAGTGCTCGTTGTCTCTCCGTCGTCTCTCAGCCGCCTCCAAGATCTTTCTCCGAAGTGCCTGAGGATTGAAAATCTCATTGGACGCTGCACTTAATGATCCAAGTCGCCGACTTGTCTCGCCTCCAAGCAGCGAGTTGTACTGCTCTCTCCGTTTTGCTGCCAGCACAGCGGCGACGCGAATAGGGACGCTAATATTGTCCCCACCAAGTCTTTGGCCTGTTCCTGCGGCTGCGAATCTGACGCCTTCTTCTCCGACTAGACCACGCACCATGAGCATTTCCATCTCATGCTTAAGCTCATCCAGGTACTTGTAGAAGGCCTCGTTGTGGGGGCCATGCACCATGTGTGTGAGCTCATGCAGCAGCGTTTCCAGTAACGCCTCGTAGGGATAAAAGGATTTGGGCGTTCGCTTCGGTCTTACTGAGGAGAGCAGCAATTACATAACTTAACTACGTTGTTGACGGTAATACAGTGAGTGACGTACAACGGACGTAGATTTTGGCGCCGCGGTTCACGTTCATGCCCAGCAGAGCGCCATCTTTCGGGAAAAACTCGTGCAGTCGCCGAACGTGGAAGCGTCTGCGAGTCAGGATCGGTAACACGGCCACGGCCAAACGCTCCAGGAGGTGCTGGGCCTGCACGCGCTGCGGCTGCCGCACCAGCGCCTTGACCTCGGTGATGGCGAACGACGTCATCGCTCATTGGCTAAATGAAAATGAAATCGTTTCAAATTTCGGTGGTCGTCATCCGTTTCAAGTTGAAGTGGGAAGCTGATGAGTCAAGCGCGGTTGATGGTGGACGAGAGAGTAGTTGCAGACTGCAGCTTGGAGCAGCTTTTTCTACTGCGAATGCGTCTACAGCACCTACGATTCGGTTTTACATCAAAATGAGAGGTGTTCCATCTCGGCGCTATCTATGCTGCCACTCGGCACTCATCAGCGTTTTGCTGACTCGAAGTTGAATCCTGTAAAACACCACTCATGATATGTACGAACTCCCAGACACGCGGGACATCCACTGCACGTACATGCAGGAAAAGCTCCAAGAAAGATACAAAATTGTGGCCTGTATGACTGACCCTGCAAGCTCTGCACTCTTAAGCGAATCGCTTTCCTCAGGATGCCGCGACGGCAACCAGGCGATGAAGGACACAACTTCGAGATAAAACAGGCTAGCTTCTCTGGTTGGAGAAGCTAGCCTGTTTTATCTAGAAATTGCTGCGCGTATACTACGCACATATAGTCGTTGAGAAACGTGCAGTCCCGTTCGATTTCTAGATAAAGAGAGATTGGTTTCTCCAAGGAATACTCAACGACCCGCTGATCAGTGCGATGGCCGCAAGATACATGCGATGCCGCCGCGGCATCTCGGTCGACCCTGGCCGACTCGGCCTCGGCCGCCGAGGATCAACTGAGTGCGCTGGCGGACGAATTCTTCAAAGCGAGGTCGCTAGGTATTGCGTTGCAGGCAGCCACGTTGAAGGTGCCGTCAAACGACGTCGATCCTCAAGCGCCGCAGCGGAGACCTGTGACGCGCGCAACGCTCGACGTGTTGTTAGGACGAATCCAGCCAATCATGGGCCTTCCTCGATTAGGCCGGACCAGTGACACCTCAGCGTCAGCCTCTCAGTCTCAGCTTCAATAATCATCTTTCGCGGGGTATTTTACGTTAGTGTAGTTTGAAGTCAAGCGTTTAATGTAAAAAGTGAAGTGACATGCACGAATTATAATATTTCAAGGTGATTAACCAGTCGGCATTTCTCGTTGCCTTGTCGACGATTGGTTTCCGCTAGCATGCACTGCATTAAACAGTCTTGCATGCCATGTATCAAATGGCTCAGTTCCCAATTTGCTTTGTCGTAAGCAGTTCGTGCATTGATTGAAGTCAAGTTTTTGCCAACTTCCAACCGCGCTACAAAAACTATGCTCGACCAGCTAAAGCACGTGATGTCTCGCCCGATTAACGGAAATGCCCCTACCGAGAAGCACATGGGCATGTCCCCACAGTCCAAGTTGGAGAAGGCTGACCCCTCCACGGCCTTCGAGCGCTCCGGATGGTGCTACATCTAAAAGAAGTCATGTGCGCCAAAGCAAGCGAACGGACTCGAGCGGACGTTCGTGACCGACGGGAGCTGCAGTGGATACCCGCAAGTCGAGGAGGCTCCAGAAATTCTCCTGCCGAAACCATGATGGGCTTGCGTCGAAGATCAAGCAATGGCTTCCGTCCTGTTTCAATATTTATGTGGACAGCAAAAAAATGAACACTAGTGTACTTTTAAGAAAATGGGAACTCGCCAGAGGATCCTGCTAAGTAATGCACGTCATTTATCTCCATTCTCTTGATGCTGTTGGTTTCTTTGGTGGTTTTCTTTGCATTACCAGCTTTTTTAGCACAGCAGTTGTTGTTCCTTTGGTAAAAGAATCCAAGTTGGCATGACTTAAGTTGGTTTCAGTAGATGAGAAAACGAACTTCAGAGACTTTTGGACGTTCGTTGGGACTTCGCTGCCATAATGGTTCGGGTGAAGGTGCGTGTGTTCACGTTCCCACCCGACCCGAGGAAGCAGAACTCGTATGTCGTCGGTACAATCGAGGTATGAAATGTGGATCTGCTGCTGCGTGAAGTGCACAGTATTTGATCAAGACTTTCTTCAATTATGACTCTGTAGGGTGGTCTGCTGCCTGTTGTGGGCACGCTCAACTTGGATGATAAGGAGGTCAGCACGGTGACGTTCACTCAATTGCGGGTGCGCATTGAGCTGCTGCAAGTCAAGGACGTGATCCGACGCAGCGTCATGTTCCAGGAGGTGCTGGCGCTCATCGCAACGTCTCCGAACCCACACAACTGGCCGCCCAACGCTATGCAGACCTACTGGTTTGGCCACTTCATAGATGAAAGCGAAACTATTCCGCACGTCATTGCGGTGAGTCTGGAACGACAAACACCAGGGTTCATTCGTCTCATGCTTGCTTGTTGCATAGGCTTCCGACGAGGACTGCCCCATTAACCAGTTCTTGAACATGATAACGTCCAAACAAACGGGCGACTTGATCCTCGTCCCGCAGACGCAGCTCGGTCCTGTATGTGAACAATGTTGCGAAGGTTGTACACTCTGTCCGCCCATCCAAAGCAGCAACAACCAGTAAAAACCCAACGCAACAAACAGTTCAACGCCGTGTTCTGTGTCAATGAAGCTGTTTAGCTGCTCACTCCTTCTTGCCACCACTGATGATCTTTGCATTCACGCCTCCATGCACGGGCGGCGGCTGAATCGCATCCCGACCCACCTCAACGCTCCAGTTGGGCAGCGATGGGTGCAGACTCGCATACATGGACAGCTCTGTAATTCCTGCCCGTACTGACGCCAACTCTTCGCGGATTTTCTGTGCGTCCGTGAGGTTCTTGTTGGCGTGGAACTCCGTCTTAATGTCGCGGATGATCGACTCGCGCTTGACGCTCGGGTAGCGCTGCGCCAGCTTGAGGATACGCCGGTACAGGCGCAACACCTCCTTTGTCTCCGCCATGGTCTTGATTTGTGTATTAAACATCATGAAACGGACAATCAAAGCTCTCCCATTGGTAGAAATCACGTGGATCGAATCTCGCTCGTCACTTCACCAGTCTTCGGCATCGAGCGACATCTTCGCTACCGCCGTCTCGCTTGCTGGCCAGCTCCAGCCCCTCGCTCCGCTTCTCGTTCTTCGCTTCGTCTTCCCTATCGCCTCCTGCACGTGTATATCTATTGTACATATCTCCATACTATTTAATTCGCCACTCTACCACCATCAAGCATGAGGTGCGTGTTTTGTGTCTAGCGAGATCAACACGCGATGAACGAGGTCGCTGACGCCTATTGCGTGCGTTAATAGTAGAAATAATAACAGTCGTAACAGTAGCCATGGCGGATCCGGCCGTCGTGGTCCCCGTCGAGAGCAGGTACGTCGAATTCAATCAGCGGATGTGGATTGTTGCAGCTCTGATCCGTTTGTGGGTCTACAGAAGAAGACCATGGACTACGAGGCGCGTGTCACTCGTAACGGAGTATCCGCTAATCATCTTCTGAACTTCTCCATGCCAGAACGTGAGCGGCACGTGTACCATCACCAGAAGAAAAAAAAGAGCTCAGCGCCGCGCACTCAGAGCGAGTATCTCCACGCCAAGTACGTCTTGATATTGACACAAATCTACAGCTTGATGCTGTGTTTATTCGTCAGCTAATGCTTGAGGCTACGTGCATTTAGCTACCGCTTCGTGATAGCTCCACTTGACCATGACACCATCGTGCCGACTTGGGATCTTGAAGCTCTCACCGAATGTAAGCTAACATCAGCTTAGCTGGTGCGACAGCGCCTCATTTAGCGTTGCAATTGGAGCCGTTTACTAATACAGTCGTCAATTTTGCAGGGTCCTCGGTCGAGCAGATTCTGCTGTGGTATGACGTCGAAAGTCCCCAGACTTGTCCGATCTGTATGGATACGTTCCGTGCGCCGAAAATCACCAAGTGTGGCCACATCTTCTGGTGCGTCTATAACTCACTGATTGAAATTTCAAGCTACAGTCTACTAACTACTGATGTAGCTGGCCATGCATCCTCCGGTATTTGTCGATGACGGACAAGTACTGGCGTCGCTGTCCGATGTGCTTTGAATCCGTTCAGAAGGGACACTTGCGCAACGTACAGCTCCAACAACTGCAAATCCCCCCTCACGTAGGCTCCGACGTCACTTTCCAGTTTTTAGAACGTCCAAAGTCCAGCATGTTCCCTCAGCTTCGTGTCCTCCCGACTGCAGAATCCAAGGGTGAGCATGCTGAAACTGATGCGTCTTCGCATTCCACTCAGTCTACTCCTGAGGCTGTTGCCTTTGCTGCTCGTAAGCGCTCTCGGAAACTACCAAATGTGAACGATGTTGACGCGATATACTCGCGTATCTTGGAGGCAACACCTGAATATCTACGCGAGCTCTTGTACTCTGAAATGCGCGATCTCCAGTCCATGGACACTGAATTCCGCAGCAGTGGGGACGTAGACAGCCTTCCTTTTGTGGAAGAGGCCATGCGGAACACTTCCGGACGGCTGGCCAAGAGCGACGACTTCAGTCACGGCACTTATCGCCAAGCCAACAGCGCCAGCAATTCTACTGCTGGGAAGAAGAGTACACCCAAAGAAAATGGAAGTGGAGACGCGTACTCGTTCTATCAGATCGCGGATGGAACGTACGTGGTCCTCCACCCGTTGAACATGAAGTGTTTGCTAAAAGAATACTCGGACGAGCACCAACACGAGCAGGAACATGGCGAAGACGCACACTTGGAAGCTGCGTGGATAGAGAGCTCGTCTGCGAGCGCAGAGCCACTGCCAGTTGATCGCTATCACTTGCTACCTGAACGTATTCACGGAAAAGTATTGGATATCGAGCATGTGGTCATGGATGAAGAAGCGCAGAAACGTTATCGCTTCTTGAGCCACTTGCCGCGCTTCTGCGACTTCTACATCTGCGAACTCGATCTGACGTCGCAGCTCTCGTCTTCGACACTTAATACCTTCCGCAATGACCTGAAGAAACGCGCCAAACAGCGGAAACACAAACACAAGCAGAACGCGCCAATCCCTTCGTCTCCAATCTTTAAGAGGAACGCAGACGCGTTCTCGCTGCAGGAGGAAGGAATGATGTGGCCGTCGCCATACGAACAAGCATTGGCCGAGTCCCTGGAGGAATTCCATCTCAGTAACTCGAGTGTTGAGCTTGACGCTGAGCATCACTCAGCGGCGGACGAGGAGCGGTCGTTTGCGAGAGTGACAGAGAACTCTGGATACTTTCCAGCGCTTGGAGGAGCTGCCGCCCGCGAGCCCAGGCCTCACGTTACGGACCCCATAGCGTTCGGCTCTCCGTCTGCGTGGGGAAACGCGTCTACCAGTCCTCCTGCAGTCGCGTGGAGCTCCGGCAAGGGCGGCAAGAAGAAGGGAGCAGGCAAGAAGGGCGTCTCGGTCTTCTCCACCACACAACGCCGTTCGTATCGCTGATCTTACTGCAGCTTCAACTGCAATTAGACCTCCGTTTTAGCAGTCGAACAAATCAATGACACGCATGACTCAATTCCTTCTCTAAACTTCGATTCCCATGTAATGCCTATTGCAAATCGCAGTCGTAAATCACATTGAAGTGAACGATAACTTTGTACCTCTGATTTCCGCTTGGACCATATTGACGTCAGTCTGTAGACCGCTCACTCTTCAATTTACTCCGTCGAGCACAAGCTACTCCAAGACCCAAAAGAAGATGACCAAGATCGCTATCATCTACTACTCAACCTACGGCCACATCGCTACGATGGCCGAGTCCGTCAAGAAGGGCGTCGAGTCTGTGGACGGCGTCACTGCCGAGGTCTACCAGGTGCAGGAGACGCTCTCCGAGGAGATCCTGACCAAGATGCATGCGCCGCCTAAGAAAGACCACCCGGTGGCCACGCCCGACATCCTCAAGAACGCAGACGGCGTGTTGCTGGGCTTCCCCACTCGTTTCGGCAGCATGCCGGCCCAGGTCAAGGCGCTATTTGACGCCTGCGGAGGCCTCTGGGCTGGTGGCGCGCTTGTGGGCAAGCCCGCTGGCATTTTCTTCAGCACGGGCACCTTGGGAGGTGGTCAGGAGACCACGGCTTTCACCTCTGTGACTTTCCTCACTCACCAGGGTATGACCTTTGTGCCACTTGGCTACCGCAGCCCGCTGCTCTTCAACTTGGAAGAGATCCACGGCGGATCTCCGTGGGGCGCCGGCACCATCGCCGGCGGCGATGGCTCTCGCCAGCCAAGCCAGCTCGAGCTGGACGTTGCCAAGGTCCAGGGCGAATCTTTCGCTGGCGTGGCCAAGAAGCTCTCAGCCTAAGCCATCGTCCATGGACCTCGTCGCGGTATTAGCGTTTAAACGCCGTAATGAATCGTTTGCAAACGTTTTAGCAAAAGATACTCTTGCTGCTGCGTTTTGATTGGTTGATTGTGATTGGTAGACGTGAGCATAGTGGGAGAGAGTCAAATTCTTATGTTGCTCCAAGGGCGGCTACATCTTGAGAAGAAGTGGCTTTTCGTCACAACGTCATGGAATCGTTTATCGAGCCTCCGTCGGCCTACGTGCCGCCCGAGGCCGTGGCGCTCTTCAATTCAGTTGGCTACACCTTTGTGGGGCTGGCGCTGAGCCTTGCCATCTTCCTCTGCGTGCGCAAATTCCTCTTCTTCCTCACATGGCGCAGCTTCCGCGACGGCCCGTATGTTGTAGGCCAGCACCAATGGAGACCAGGAAACCTCGCTGGGTAAGTCCACTGCAATCACTACTGCACATTTATCTTCACTGAACTAACTATCGAACTGATCGATCATTGCTGCAGTCCACAATGGTGCAACGTGTGTGAAGCTATCGTCTACGGTATCCGTAGCTATGTGGTCAAGTGCGATATCTGCGGAATGTACGCACATGCGCAATGCGCAGCCACCACGATGCGCTACAAGGGCGTGAACGGAACTCCATCCACTACCGGATCTTCCACACCATCGCCTTCTTGTGCCTGCAGAGCTCCTGGAATATTACTTCCGTCTTTATCGGTCCCTTCAGACGACAAGGTGGTCACTCAACAACAAAGTCACATGTGGATTAAGGGCAACATCGACCCCATGGACTCGTGTTCACTATGCGGTCTATTCTGCGGTAGCATCTTAGCTCTGTCAGGTCTCAAATGTTCCTGGTGTCACGTTCGAGTGCATGAAGAATGTTTCCAGCAGGCTCTAGCTCGCTCTCACAAGCCGCTGCTACTGCGTCGTTGCGACTTGGGTAGACACGCGAGCCTCATCATACCCCCGTCATGCGTTGTATTACGCGAACCAGTCTCAATCGCCAGCAAGTCACAACGTGCGCTCAATTCGGTGCGTATCGCAGTGACCAAGATGTCAAATATTCGACTACGACGCCCCAGTGGAACGATTGATGCACCCACGCCGCCTACAAGCAACTCATCTGGATGGGAGAATGCGTTCTCTGGCTCGGACGGACTCCCGTATGATCTGGTTGAGACGTCCAAGGAGACCACGCCATTATTGGTCTTTATCAACAGTCGAAGTGGTGGCAAGATGGGTCTGCATGTGCTACGTCAAGTGCGGATGTGGCTGAACCCTATACAGGTGTACGACTTATCGCATCAAAGTCCCATTGAGCCGCTACGTCAGTTTATCGGACTCCCTCGACTTCGCATTTTAGTGTGTGGAGGTGACGGAACTATAGGCTGGGTACTCAGTGCGCTAGACGAGATCGGAGCTCCACGACAACCTCCTATCGCGGTTTTACCATTAGGAACCGGCAATGACTTGGCCCGTGTGCTTGGTTGGGGCGCAGGCTTCTCAGCGCCGACAGACGTGAGTGAAATACTCAGCGAAGTGGAGGCAGCTCACGTGAGTCTTCTGGATCGATGGCAAGTGAACATTGGAGACTCTCAGAAGCGTGTTGTTTTAAACAACTACCTGGGTGTCGGTGTGGATGCTCAAGTGGCGCTGGAGTTCCACGAACAGCGTGAACGTTCACCTGGATTGTTCATGAGTCAGTTCGTCAATAAGCTGTGGTATAGTCAATTCGGAGCTAAGAACTTCCTGGTCCGGACGTGTGCAGGTTTACCCGAAAAGATCGTTCTTGTATGCGATGGAAAGCGTATCATGCTTCCAGTCGGTACTGAAGGCGTTATTCTCCTTAACATTAACAGTTATGGTGGAGGCTCCAAGCTCTGGCATGACGACGCTGAATCTGACAATGAAGACTCCGACTTAGCAAGTGACACGGACGACGATGACCGAAGCCGGTCAAGCAGCATTGATAGTCTGGATACCAGCACTCACTTCGGTCCATCGTCTCCTCATGACGGATTGCTGGATGTCGTGGCAGTGTATGGCACACTGCACCTTGGACAAATGCAAGTGGGACTGTCAAAGGCTGTGCGTTTGTGTCAGGCCAAGTCGGTGCGAATTACGCTGAAGGAGACGCTGCCGGTGCAAATCGACGGCGAGCCGTGGCTGCAGAATCCAAGCGAGATGGAGATCTCGTTCTTGCAGCAAGCCTTCATGTTGAGTCGAACTGTGGAGGAGCGAGATGTGGTGACGAAGAAGGTTGGAGAGGTGTTGGATTGGGCTGAGCACTCGCATGTTATATCGTCCAGGCAACGCGATGTGCTGTTAGTTGAGATTGCAAGACGTGTGGCGGATAGCGCTGCGTCTAGACGGCCGGCGGGGTCTCGTGCTTTATTGTCGACAGATAGTCGTGGCCAGGACAGACACTCGTTCGTCATGGCGGACAGGTAACGTAGCTAGCAGATGTAAGGCCCTCACTTTAATATTTAGATTTTATCTTCATCCGGTACGGTCTGCTGGAGAAGCATCTTCTCGATGAACTGGTCGATATCACCGTCGAGTACTTGAGCTGTGTTACCTTCCGAGTAGTTGGTGCGGTGGTCCTTTACGAGCTGGTACGGGTGCAGCACGTACGACCGGATCTGGTTGCCCCACGCGTTGTCTCCAAGTCCTTGAGCGAATTGCTGTCTTGCTCGCGCTTCTTCTTCAAGTTTGCGTTGATAAAGCTTAGCTCGTAGAATTGCCATCGCTTCAGCTTTGTTTCGATGTTGAGATCGGTCCGATTGGCTTTGAACCACAATTCCAGTGGGTAAGTGCGTGATTCGAATGGCGCTGTCAGTGGAGTTCACGTGTTGGCCCCCAGGACCTGACGACCGGAACGTATCAATGCGTAGATCCTTGTTTGAGACCTCGATTTCTGCGCTGGAGCGACCTTCAGCTGCCATGGGGTACACACGCACTTGTGCAAACGACGTATGTCTCCTCCCTGCACTGTCAAACGGCGAGATGCGGACCAGCCGATGTACGCCAGCCTCACTCTTGGCCCAACCGTATGCATAAGCGCCATCTAGCCTCAATACAACGGATCGGAAGCCAGCCTCTTCGCCAGCAGATTCGTCAACGAACTGCACTTGGAAGCCACGCGCTTCCCCCCAGCGCGCGTACATTCTAGCCAGCATAGCCGTCCAGTCGCAGCTATCAGTACCGCCAGCTCCTGCTTGAATCTCCACAAAACATGAGCGGGTGTCACTCTCATGCGCCAGCAAGAGTTCTAGTCGAAGCTGCTGTGCCTCCGCTCGCACGGCAGTCATAGCACTGACACAATCCCGAAGCATGGACTCATCTTCCTCGTCTTTTGCAAGCATGTACAGCTCCTTGGTGTCTAGGAACTGGCGGTGTAGCTCATGGGTGCGAGTCTCTCGCGACTCCAGTGTAGCTAGTCGCTGTACCACAGACGCAGCGTTGCTAGCATCGTCCCAAAGGTCCGGATCGGCAGCTTCTTGGCGTAACTCGGCGAGTTCTTGCGCATTATGAGCCGCAGCCACCACGTCGTGAATCACTGCAATCTCTCGTTGGGCGTGGTCCGCTATGGAAGCAAAAGATTCGTCGCTTGTAGAGGCGTCAGCGGAGGAATAGCATCGGACGGGAGATGCGGCCGCCTGCTTTGATGAGGTGTAGAGAGAGAAGGAGCGACGCGACGAGTCGCAAACTTCGTATGTAGCGGTGCAAGATACTTGCAATGTACGACGTGCAACTTGCAGATTAATGCGAGATGGATGGGCCGCGCGCAACGCAGCTACGGCAGCACGCCCAATGGTGATCATTTTCGCCGATCAAATTGAGGACTCGAATAGTACTATCTTGAAATAGTATTCAGTGCAATGTGAATAGTAGTACTATTTCATGAGAGTTCGACATTACATCATGACAAAGTCAACTTCATCGCTTGGGCGACGCAAACCTGGGGAAGTGACGCGTTTCTTGGTGTGCAACCAGCACTTCATCGTCTACAAGACGCGGCAGGAAGTCGGTCTCGACGTTGTGCTCATGAAATCGACCCCCAGGTTCGCACAGTTGCAGCATGAGCGGCGACGCCTTGGGCCCAAACGTGTTGCCCCACAGAAGCAGACAGCGCAGTCGTGATCCTGCTTCCGGATTCTGCAGCTTCAGACAGGCATTTGCAAGTGTAGCCATGCCGTCATCAGTGAGTGACGTGGAACACAGTGACAGTGTCTCCAGAGGTGTGGCCACGTTGGCTTTCAGCACCGTCGCAAAGGCCTTCGCGCCAGCGTCTCCAATACGGTTAGCGCTCAGATCAAATTCTGATAGTGTAGGGTGACGCATCATCAACGCTGCAAGCGCAGAGGCCCCAGTACTTCCGATGCGATTGGCGCGGAGAACGAGCCGCCGCAGCGATCGATTGTCCAGCAACCGCTCGGCCAGCACTTGCGCGCCGTGATCCGTCATTTGGTGCTTGGCCAGACTCAGATCCGTAAGCACGCGATTTACTTGCAGCATCTTCCCAATGTACTGGACCGCCTCTTCCTCGGTTGTCTTAACAACAGGGTTGTCGAGGTTCAGCGCCTTAAGGCAGCGGTTGACACGCAGCGACTGTGCAATGGCAATTAGATTCGAGACGTCGAAACTCGAATTGCCTACGTCGAGTTCTTGTAGCGGACATGTACCCGCACTTAGCAGCGTAGCGATGGCGTGGCCTCCCGCGGATCCGAGTGGATTCCCATTAAGATTCAACCGTCGTAAAGGGGAAGCTGCACCAGCAGCACCTAGTGCAGTGCAGAGCAATCGACAGCTCTCACTACCGAGCCGATTGCCCTGCAGATTCAGTTCAGCGATTCGACACACGTAGGCGGGTGTGGGTTGCAATAGTCGACCGAGGCTTGACGCAGTGTCTAAAAGGAACTCGCGTTCGTCTCTTCCTCCTTCATCGTCCTCATTGTCACTTTCAGCTTCATGCTGCGTAACATCCTCTTCGTGCTCTCCAAGGTGGTTGTAGCGCAGATCAAGTCCGACGAGACCGGGTACTTGACTTGCATGCAAGGTATTTGCAAGAGCCACAAGTTGGATATTGCGCAGTCGGTGGTGAAAGCCTTCCCGAGTGTTCCCAGCCAGAACCAGCACCATATCTGGCCTCTCTTCGGTGGTCTTTGCGCGGCGTGCAGCGAGCGCCTGTGACGTCGCTTGGAAATTGCTACTGAGCCCGTCGTCCTCGGATGACGGGAAGAAGTCTGCCATACGCGCGATCACATCCCGGCGCGCCGTGATGCCCAGCTGCAGGCTCTCCATCTCATAGTTGTGGACAAAGTCCTGGAGCGACATGGCTTCCTCGCAGTCTCGGTTAGAAAAGGTAGCGTCGAGTACCTGAAGCGACGCGGCGTTTCAAAGGATACTTGTGCTCACCTTTGAGTAGACGTCATGGTGGCCAAATCCAAGGCTTCAACTGCTGGACAAGGCGATGCCAAGGCTATCGCGGCTGCAACAGCAGCGGCCGCATCGGCTAACGCAGCACGGGCCGAGGAGGAGCAGCCCGTGGAGGACGACGATGCGACCATCAAGACCGGCACCTTCTCCTTCAGCGACGGCAGCAAATACAGTGTGTTAACGTAGCAATAGTCAATTACCATTAGCTTCGCTTGTGGTTAGCTTAATGCTCGTAAATGATGCAGAGGGAGAGTATTGCGTGGCCGGCGGCAGAGTTGTTCGAAAGGGGCAAGGCTCCTTCTGGACGGGAGCGGAGATATACGAAGGTGAATGGCTACATGACCAAATGCACGGTCGCGGAGTGTACAGCTTTGCCACGGGTGCAATCTATGACGGAGAGTTCCAGAACAGCCAATTCCACGGCGTTGGAAGCTACCGCTGGGCCGACGGCGCGCATTACAACGGCGGATGGCACTTCAACAGGTATATCCTATCCATTTTGTGGCAAATATTGAGGTTGAAGTCTTATTTGTGGAACTTAATTGTGGTGTTTTTTGCTGTTAGAATGCATGGAGACGGTTTGTATGTGGACAAAGACGGCGTGGAATGGCGTGGCCGCTTTGTGAACGGCAAGTACGACAACGGCCGAATCTTCCACACGTTGAGATGAAGCAGAACGTTTTAACAAGGAAATGCACTTTGTGTGTTGAGCAATAATAATTTCTTATAAATGGCAGTGAAGTCCACTTCACCATTCAGCTAGGAAAGGAAAGTCTCGCAGAGCGCTGAGCCGCTGCGGTCGATGGGCGGTAGTAGACCGTTTTGCAGCAATTCCAGTTCGTCCTCCGTGACGCTCTGATCACCGTAAAGCTCTCGCTCGTTGGCGATCAGCTGCGTCATAAAGCCTCGATTGGGAAAAATAAGAGGTCGACACTTGAGCACGTGGCTGTAGGCAGCGGACAGCGTGCACTTGGTGTCGAGCATGACATACCAGATGCAGATCGTAGACGAGCGCGAGACGCCTTGGACGCAGTGGATGAGCACACGTCCGTTCTGAGACGCTGCCTTCTGGATGAACTCAATAGTAGGACCGAACTCTTGGGCGATATCTACGTCCACATTGTCCTTGATTGCAACGTCGAGATATTCCACGTGCTCGAATTTGTTGCGTTGGTCGGTGATCGCTCCCATGTTGACCACGTGTGTGATCTCCAAGGCGTCGATGACCTCAGCCGAATTGGCTTGCCAGAAGTTACCCAGATACAGGAACCCGTCCACGATTTCATTGGGGAACTGCATCGACGAAGTCGGACTCGATGCTGTATTATCTGTCGGTTCTTCCTGCTGTTTCCTGTCGGTTTCCTCTTCTGCTGGCATCCATAAGGGCGACGACACCAACATGAAGTTGTACTTCTTGGCGAAAGCAGGGAAGCCTTGTGCCAAGAACCGAACTGAGAAGACTCGACCTTCGTCCACCAGCATCTTGGCGAAGCGGTAGCCCCAGTCCATTCTGTACAGGAACGACGCACCCGTGTGATTGCCGCCGATGACCACGACCTCGATGAGATCTCTCCTTTCGAGCTTCTCTCGCAGCTTGGCGTTCTCCGTAAGCTCCACTACGTCATCCACCGTCTTGGCCATTTGTCCAGCACAGCTCAAAGCGGACAGGTGCGATCCCGTATAGAGCGGTGGGCAATGCAGCGCGCCTGGTAGATGTCCTGCCGAGAAATCAGCTCCTTTGCGACAGTCTACGAGCACGACGCCCGACGTCTGCAAACGGTTGTAGAGCGACGTGACCGAGATCAGCGGCACTCGTGCGTGTGAGCTACGTAGGCGTCTCCGTCGCAGCCTCCGCGAGGCGAACGAGAGGCACGAGGAACTCAGCGAAAGCGACGAGGACTCGACCTCAGCTTCGGCCACGGGTTCGGCCGAGCGGTTTGAGCCGGTGGGGCACGTAGAGACGCTACTGGCCGCAGCATCGAAGGGCTTTCGCTGCTTCTTCATGTCCGATTGTTGCTCGTCGTGCGCCATTCTAATAGTATATCTATCCAGGCCGTTCCGACCAACAGAGAGCGATGCCGCCAATTGCCAATTGATGGAGAACTTGCCTCTCCACCCTCTGAGGATCGAGGCTATCCCGAAAGTCAGCGCAGAAAGCCGCAACCCTATCACTAATTTGTGCCACAAATTGTGGAGCAAAGCAGCACTGACGGTGCCACCGTCGTATGGCTACGGCGACGAGCCCACGTTAGCTAGCGGGCGGGTCTGTGGCCGACACATAACTCCTCAAACGTCCCAGCCGAAATGCATCTGCGTGATGTGGGCGCGGCTGCCGGTTGAATGGCTGAGCGCCTGCTCCGTACGAAATGTGCTTCGAAACAGACCCCTGTCACAGGCTAAAATGCCATGAATAAATG